AAGAAGGTTGAAGAGTGTGCTTTTGAAGATATAAGGGCTGGAAGTTTTGCCCTCTAGAAATTTCTAGAACAGTCCACAACATTCGAGAGTTTTCCACAACATTTCAGAACATTATAGAATGTTGTGGAATGTCCGGGAATAGTCCGGAATATCCCAGATCATTGCGGAACGTTCTAGAACACAGTTGAATGTTGTGGTCTGTTCTACAACATTGGGGACTATTCAAAGCCCTTTTTGTATGGGTGGGGCTACCTATGTATTAATTTTAAAGTTTATCCTTTTATTCCAACTACCACACAAGGTACCAGGTACCCCAGCTAGTTTAACATTAAATAAGTAACAAATAAATAACTTTTCAAGCAAACCAAATGAATGAACTATTTACGATTAACCTTTATTAACTGACAATAAAAAAGATCCAACAAACAAAAATCATATAATCAGTATCGTACAATATTACCGTCTTATTTACTTGTAAATATGTATCTATTTACATTTACAAGCTAAATTTTGATTTAGAAATAAGTAATAGGAGTTAATTCAGATTACGTAAAACCTCAACATTAAGTTCTGTTTGTCACATTAAGCTTGGAAATGGGAATGCTCTTTAAAATTCATTATTTTTAGGAACGTAGTAGCGTCATTTTTTACCCATTTCGTTTTAGACAAAAATGCGAAAAAAAAACGTATTATTAACATCTTTAAGCGACAAAAAATATACATTTTGGAAAACAGTAGACATCGGACGAATAATACGTATAATGATAAATAAAATAAATGGCGCAGCAACAACGGCGACATATCGACTTTTAAGGTCAATGGACATTTGTTTCTATAAGCGAATGTTTAGTTAGTTCACGGTGTACGGTCGCCTAACATAATTAACATGATGTACATATTATGCGGGGGTTTCCAATATGCTGGTTTTACAGCTCGAATATATCCATAAAATCAAAATAACGCCCTTCAGCATTCTTTTTATGGCGATTATAAAAGCATGTTTTCACACTAGTCCTCCTCAAACGAAAATTTTCTACTTGTCCACCAAACAATAGCAAATACCTAGACATCAAGATCCTACAGTGTTCTAAAGTATCAACAAATTCCAACTATTATAAATGCGAATGTGAATTTATTTGTTTGCTAGTTCATTACGAGTTCACGCCTTAATTACTCAATCGATTATTATGAAATTTTCTACACATTTTGTCAGGGGTACAGAGAAGGACATAGGGTACCTCTCATCCAGAAAAAAAAAACTGTGCCCGAAGGATAGAAAAAATTAGTTTTATGTGGTCATCGATGAGCATTGACACATATTTAGGACATCAGCACGGGCCAGACCGTGGTGAAACCTATATGAAATTTTGTTCTCACATTGTCAGGGGTACAGAAAAGGACCTATGGTACCTTTTATCCAGAACTGTTCCCGAAAAATTAGTTTTATGTGGTCGTCGATGATTTTTAACACTTATTTAGGATATCAAAGCGAGCAAAACCGCGGTTAAAAGCTAGTTTCAAATATTCCTAGATTTTTTAAGTTCTCATTGTGACTTCTGAATACTTTCAACAACCAAAATCAAATAAACTCAACATAAAAAAAAATAAAAATTCACCATTCATCAGTGAAAAAGGAGGTTTAATAGGCAATCAATATTAACAATTTATTTATAAATTCTTCTCTATGTTTAGTTACACACACTTACAGTAATGATAATTTATTAGCAAAGTAAGCGATGTTTTACACGATCATTTGTAACAGACAGACAAACAAGCCAATAGGCCATTAAAATCTTTAGAACTCAGAACGCAAATAAAGTCATCTATATTTATTGTGTTATTTCAAACAGCTAGACTTTTTTTAAACTGATCGTGAGACGATTAAGAATAAAAATAAATTTTTACATTCCATTCTGGATATCAATCCGATCTCTACAATATCCAATTAACCTACAGTATTTTTATTTTTTTACCAAACAAAGCACTGTATACTGTACAGACATTACGAACTGCTATATACATAGAGTAGAATCCGCTTATAATGACATCGAAGGGAAATGACAAACACGTCATACTAAGCGGGCGTCATACAAAGCATAGTTTTAGAAAATAAACAACTTTCTATTTTGGTTAGTTATTTAGTTTAATAGAGAGAAAAACTACAAATTGTATATATTTATTAACAGAAAAAGAAAAAGAACGATGAATTGTAATATCAATATACATAAGAAGGGTCAGAAAAATGAGCGAAAACGTTATTATTAATCATTTGGGTCACTATAGCCGGATATGATTTCTTGGGAATCACTCATAATAAACGATATGTCATTTTAAACGGAGTCATTATATCCAAACTTTCCTATAGAGAATTTAATATGAAAACCACCCTTAACACTGCAATTACTTCATATTAAACGGTTGGTCAATATAGGCGGAGTCATAATAAACGAATTCCACTGTACATATAATAATGTATTAATACCTAGGTAGCATTTGTTTTAAACTAATACTTCTAATTATTCAAGTATTTATTGTTTATTCATATTTGTAGTTACAATAAGTACTTAGCAGCAATTATAATTTTTATGTACTCAGGAATTTCATTTATCACATGCTAAATATACCTTGTTAGGTGGTAAACAAATTTACAATTTTTTGAGCAATTTATTATAAGAACTTACACTAAACCAGCTACTTTAAATAATGTGTATAATTTGATTCAAATTTAACTTTATTTTTTTCGATTTCAATTAACATTATTATTTATTATCTATTCCAATATCAATGTTAATAACCTCCAGTAACTGAACAAACGCCCACCAAATTACCAATTTAAGACAGAAAATTAATTCATTATGTACCAAAACAGCTCACGGACAAAACCATAATCGCATTTTAATTCGAGAATATTAAGACATTGCATGAAATATCCACATGCGTGAATGCTAATTAAATTCATTTAAATGAATGTCGACAAGCAGGTACACATTCATAAATTATTTCAAAGAAATTTGATCTGGATAATTTTTGGAAATTGAAAAGTGGACTAGTGGAATAGTAGATAATAGTACCTGATTATTATTAAAGGGATGACAAATAATTTTTAACTTGCTAAATAAAACAGTATGGAAGTCAATAAGAAATAGACGATATACGTTGGTAGGACACCTTCTCGGGCATGAAGGTCTAATTAGAGACATATTAGATGCAAAAACAGGAGTTACGAGGTGTACAAGTAGCAAATAGTTATGGATGTGGGATGTTCTAGTTTTAGAAAAATGCGAAGTACGTAGTCGAGGTACGTGTTCAACTAGTCTTAGGACTGACAACATTACGATTATAATGGCTAAATAAAAAAGTAAAAGCTAGCTAGTCGCATATAAAAATAAAACGGTTTCATAGTAAGTTTATAAAATATAAAAACATGTAGGTAGGTATCTGTAATAATAATTAGAATTCCACGCAGGCTAGGCCTCGTGCAGAAGACCAGAAGCTAGTAAAAGATGTTTTTAGACATAAATATATTTCGTATAAAAATGAGATACGAAAACAAAAAGGAAATGAAACCGCTACAGTATCTGAACCGTATCATAAGCTTGTCAATTGCAAAACGACGATCTTTTACAAAAACTAAACAACACAATACGGTTTTTAGAACAGACGGGGTGCTAACGACTTTCTAATCTTCAACGTCATCCAACTGCTCAAGCAAAACCTAATAACGGTTTAATCTTCACGAAGAAGCCCACAAAAAAAAAGACGGAGCAATTATCTCGAAAGCGGCTGGTACGTTTCCGGATCGAATTAATTATAGTAGGAATGGTTATCTGAACTATCAAACGCGTGCACCTACATGTAAATTATTTATACACGAATGCTATTACATGCACAAATCCGGAAAGCCACATAACGGTTTCAAAAACAATATAATAAACCCAGAAAAGATAGGTAGGTACTTGAACCAGGATAACGCATAGGGAAGCCTTTTAGACAGTAGTTACAAAAACTTTTAGGTCATTATTGCTTCCCAAAAAAAAACTAATGTTCTAATGTAGGTAGGTACCTATGCATGGGTGCATAGTTACTATTTTGATTAATTGTAAGTGTTTAGGTATCTACTATAAATTTCAAGGAGATGAATAAAATTTAGTCTCATAAAATCTTCTATTAACTTTTTTCTTTCGGTTACATTGTTGATTACCTCGAAGCAAGCAACAAGGCTATTTCAAAAGACTGTGCTGACTTATTTAGTAATTATTATTGTGTAAACAAAAAACGAAGGTTTTTGACTGGTGCTAATACTAATCAATAAGTGATAAAAAACGTAAAAATAAAGTCAATCCCTAGATAATAATTCTATTGAACAAACGCATTACCAATCCTCTTAAAGATAATTTATTAATTATTTATACACCATTGCATTGTAAAGGAAAAATACTTTCACTAAACAAAAACCAAGTTATAATTATAACATAGAAACTGATGAAAAACGAACTCTTTATAAACAATCAAAACTACATGGATTAAAGGAAAATACCTAACTTTAATAAAAATGAGTGATTCATGCAGAGGTCAAGCACCCAGAAAGTGTCTTTTTATTTGCAAAAAAATAAGCATGTACGAATGAACTTGGTAACTACATGCAGATATAACTAAACGTATTATACCTAACCATTTTGGCCTACTTTCAAAATTGAGGTAACTACGAAAAACTGACCACATAGCCTAATTGAATTCGTTGAATATAATTCGGTTTTTAATTTGGTTTAAACGTTATAATTAAAAATTTAAATATACAAATATTAAATGATAATATGTATATAGTTTTCAGAAAAACATGAGTAATCACAAGAGAACGATATCATAACGACAATATGACAGATGACAAAGATACGGAAATTGAAAATGATTTTCAGTTTTAAAATCTAAAATTAGTCAATATAGAAAACATAAAATCAATGTACATTATTAAAAGAATAACTGAACATATTTGCATATACCTGTGAGTTGCTGTTTGTATCTTCGATTACTTTATCTGTTTCCATGTTAATCATTTCGTTAGGTGTGCTTACACGAAATATTACTCTTACATTCACTATATTAAAACTATTTTGGGATTAGGCACGTCAAAACCTATTTAACCACATTAAAGAATCACTATAGTTTGGGATAAAACCCTCAAATCACAAAAAATTAAAAATATTAACCCACAACAGCCACACCACAGCGTCAGTACCTGTCAGTACTACTTTTACTTGACGCTTCGCCTTTCTCGCTTCTTTTTCTTTAATAAACTCATAGACAAAATAAACTCCATAACTGTCATAGACTATAGATATTCAATAAATTGCTTATAGCCTTACAGCTCGTTGGTTACAGCCTAGCCTATTGTTCATAGAGCAGCAAAATTCGATTTCCATAGAGATTTATATGCTTTGAACTCCTATAAACAAAAACATAAATCTTGATACTCTCGAATCCTTTTGTAATTTATTGTTATTTATTGATTATGCTCCTTTCAACTCCGATGCAGGTTTAAAACTAATTTAGAAAAACAGAAATAATTATTTTTAAGTATAGTTGACTTACTAGATAACTTACTTTCTTAATGATTGATAGTGACATCTGTGACAATTATGAGAAATATTGGATAACAAAACAGAAATTATTTCAAAACATATTTAAATATTATCTGGCACTTCAAGAAGAATTATGCAATTACAAAATAATCATAAAAAATAAGAGAAAAACATGTTTATCTTCATGATAAGCACAACAAAATAAACGTACTGTATGGTTACATAACATAGACAAACTTTTCAGTCGCTTTAATTTTCAAAAATAATGTCATCACTACAATTAAAAAATTTCGTAAAATGTGGAACAAAAATTGTTTGTGCTGGCGCTAATTACAGGTACTCAAATTAAAATCCTAAATATCTAAAGTACGTTAACAGTTTTTCCAATTATTTGTAGAACCGCTCCTAATTTCAAAGAAAAGCCTGCAGATCCAGTAATATTTATAAAACCTGTTTCGTCATATATTCTGGAAGGAGAAAAAATATGCGTAAGTATATACCTACTTTTATGTCGGTTTTGCGTAAATATGGTCATACTAATGTCAATTAGTAAAATAATTGGTTTAATGATCCAGGTGGCTCTTTGTTAGTTTCATTAAATTGTTTACTAACCATAGTTAACTTCCAATGCAATTTTTTAGGAGAATAGTAATTTGCGCTAAAAATTAGATAAAAACTCAAATTGTAAATCCCATGCTTACGTAACTTCAGCCCTTTTCTTATTATCATTTTTATTAATTTTCTTTTGTTTCGGAGAATCTATTAAAAATGACGCAATTCAGCACTTAAAAATTTTAGATTCCAGAAGATTTTAAGGTGAATCAAGAAGTGGAATTGGGCGTGGTTATTGGGAAAAAATGCAAAAACGTTTCGCAATCAAACGTAATGGATGTTATAGGGGGTTACTGCATTGCTCAAGACTTGACTGCAACAAACTTTCTGGTAACAAAAAAAAAAGTTTTTCTACATCTAAGTTTTATTTAATCTGTTGATTATTTTTAAGGAAAAAGCACGAGGTCAAGGTCTCCCATGGTGTATGGGAAAAGGTTTCGACACAGCATGTCCCGTGAGCACATTTATACCCAAAGAAAAGATACCTGATCCTCACCAGATTGAAATATGGTGTAAAGTCAACGGACAAGAACGTCAACGCGGCAACACTAAAGATTTTGTTTTCACTATTCCGGAGTTAATATCGTACATAACACAGTATATGACTTTAGAACCTTACGATTTAATTCTGACTGGTTCGCCACCGAACATGGGCCCCATTAAACCAAGCGATTTTATTGAAAGTGGAATTGAGGGTATCGATGAGTCGTATTTCGGTGTAAAAGTATACGGTTAAAAAGAAAGCTTCTTTGCCGATTATACATTTTGTCGGAAATAATAAATATCATTAAAAAAAAAACAATGTGTTTTTATTAACATAATGCAAACGATTCAACTTACAGAATTAAGGCTACATGTACCGCTTAACTCTAATTATTATTTTATTTACTTTTTTTATCAATTGTACTCATCTTCCATTGTTTCTCATTTTCCAGATGAAGTGAGTACATATGCTTATCAATGTCAATAACAATGTAGCAGTAAACTATTCTTGATTCTGGATACACAGGAATGTGATATCTTGCATTTCACTTGTTACAAAGAGGATTTTTAACAACCAAATCACTGCCATGGTATTCGATCTGTTCGTAAATAAATTTACGATTTACTCTACACTCGGGTCCGCATTTGGTAGACTTGCATTTCTGGCATGGAAAATGACAACCAGGACAATTTAAACTTAGGCAATCGCACATATCTTCACCTGTTGCTAGATGTATCCCATTTTCGTCATAAAGCGCGCCAGCAACTCTTCGCGATGAATAACTGTTTATTCTTCGATTTAATTTCTTTTTTTCTCTGGTACTTGTTTCCGGATCAAAATTGTCTAAAAACTTGTCACTGGCTTCCTTTTGCAAAAGTGATCTGGTCTGTCTTCTGGTTACCGATTTGAGTTCCGGTATTGGAGCAGAAGTCGTGGATTTCTTAGCAACCCTCGGTTGATCCAAATGAAGCGATTTTCTCGTTTTTCCAGGCAATGATTCGCTGCTGTCACTGTTATTTGAATTATTTTCGTCCGACATGTTGAGAACTCCAATGTGTTTCTATAAAAGGAAACATTTTGGAATGTAACAGGAAATATTAAGGAAATGCATGGGTGTGGAACTCGTTCAATAGTCCATCGATGGACAAACAAAATTATTTTGATAAAAAGGTTGAAAACTTAAATGCAAATATATATATAATCAGTACGCGAAACAGCATAGATCTTAAAATTTCAATGAATTTGAGCCTACTAACAACACATTTACCTATTTTTATTCGCTATTCGTATAATATAAATAATATAAATACATAAATGCCTGTACTAATGTAGCATCAACTCAAGTCAGTCATATTATAAACATTTCCTTGAAAAGGCTAAATGAAATAATCTTAACGACAAGGTCGAAAAATAAAAAATACGCATACTAATACCATATAATACTACAAATGCATAAAATATACTTAAGCATTTTCAGTAGTGAAAAATTCATTATTAATCAAGACTAAAATAATTCATTTAACAAAGGAAAATTAACAAACAACAAACATATAATTCGACAATCTGTCGCCGAGCAGGAGCATAGATAGACTAGGAGTTTATTCATTTGCGTTTTAGGTTAGGTTGAAAAAAACGTTCAAAAATTTTAGAATTTAAAACAGCATGCAATGGTATTAACTGAATACAGATATTTAAAAACATACTGAATTGGTTTATAAGATGATACGATATGAAGATGAAGGAGAAACGCTGGCTGATAAGTCGCCGTGTGCAGGTATTAGAGCAGATCTAAAAATGTGCCTTCTGGAAAGTGAATGCTGTCGTATTGTAAGCTACTATATCACCTTATTTCATCATGTAAAGACCTAAAATTTGTAATATTTATTAAAAGGAAAAGAAGACACCCAGAGAATGCTTAAAAAGCAATTTAGCACCTGAATGTCATGCCCTTCGAAATACTTTTTTTGAATGCAAAAGATCTTTGGTAAGTATTTCTGAAGAATGGAGTAGACGAATATGCTAACAAAAAATTTGCAGCTGGATAACCGTGTACGATTCAAAGGCAGAAAGGGCTACTAAAGAAACAGTTATGTTTGTGGTTACATAGTAGTTATTAAGTAGTTATATGAATCACAAAAAAATCTTACCTGTGTGTGATAAGTTGTTGAAAAATATATGTAGGTAGTATAAAATAATCTTCTAAATTTATCAAAGATAGAAAAATGGAAAAATAATAAGTAATTATTTGACGTTAAATTGAGGTTAAAATCAAAACCATAAACAAGATCAAAACGATCAAAAGTTATTAAAAGGGAGAATCTCTATGAAGCGTCTCCCATAGATAAGATGTTTCCTACACGATCTAGTTGTATGAACTGACACCCGATATAAATTATCCGCTGATTTAATTTAAATTGTGCGTTGTTTGCGGTTCTAAATATGTACGTAGCGTAATTGTGTATTAGTTAATTGGTGGTAAAGTTCAAATCAGCGGAATATTTTTATCGGATGCTATTTCACAGGACTTATGCTATCTCCATTACATATTTTCCATCTATGGGTATTCCATTCTATGGATTGTATGGAAATCAAGCAAATGTGTGTGATTTTTGTCAGTGCATAGTAAATGCTAAGTGTTGGTGTTGGGCTAAAAAGACATGAATTTTATGTGTAAATAAGTTACTGTTTTCTTTTTGTTGGTTTAAACTCAAATATCGCAATGAGTCGTCGTAGAGCTCATGAGGAGGATGATGGATATGGTAAATTTCAAATATTTTCTCTAAAATATGATAACTTGTTAAAATCTAACCTATTTTATGTCTCAATAAAATATTTCTATTGTAGAACGGGCCTACAGGAAAAGGCGTAGAGTTTCTGAAAATCAGGAGATTGAAGATCGCCTGGAATCTCTTATTTTGCGTGTTGGAGAAAAAAGTACTTCTTCTCTTGAGAGTAACTTAGAGGGCTTAGCCAGTGTACTTGAAGCTGATTTAGGGACATTTAGAAGCAAGATCTTGCGTATTTTAACGGATTGTGCTATTAAAATGCCAGAAAAATGTACCATTTATACTACATTAGTAGGTTTGCTTAATGCTAAAAACTACAATTTTGGAGGAGAATTTGTGGAGTACATGGTAAGAACATTTAAAGACTCTTTAAAAGGCTGTAAATGGGACGCTGCCAGATATGCACTAAGGTTCCTAGCAGATTTGGTCAACTGCCATGTCCTGTCTGCCTCATCCTTACTGCAACTACTAGATAATATGATTGATGCAGCTAATGAGGACAGTGTTCCTCAAGTACGCAAAGACTGGTATGTTTTTACTATTTTGACAACATTGCCTTGGGTTGGAAGAGAACTTTATGAGAAAAAGGAAAGTACATTAGAACATTTACTTGTACAAATTGAAATCTTTTTAAATAAAAGAAGTAAGAAACATCATAATGCATTAAGGGTGTGGGCCTCAGATACTCCTCATCCACAAGAAGAGTATCTTGACTGTTTGTGGGCCCAGATAAGGAAATTGAAGCAAGATAATTGGGCTGAAAAACATATTCCAAGGCCTTATTTGGCATTTGATTCGATATTGTGTGAGGCATTGCAGCATAATTTACCTACAATTATACCACCTCCACATCATGACTCTTATAAATACCCCATGCCCTGGGTGGTTTTTCGAATGTTTGACTATACTGACTGTCCTGAAGGTCCTATAATGCCAGGAGCACACTCTATTGAACGTTTTTTGATTGAAGAACATTTACACTCAATTATAGAGAACTATCATCTTGAGCGTAAAGATTGTGCAGCTCATTTGCTTAATTTCCCATACAAACTTAAAATTCCTCTTGAATATTGTATTGTAGAAGTGATATTTTCTGAATTGTTTAATATGCCTACACCAAGATACTTGGAAATTGCTTATGGTTCAATTTTGATTGAACTTTGCAAACTACAGCCTTCCACAATGCCCCAAGTGCTGGCTCAGGCCACCGAGATCCTTTTTATGAGGATTGACTCAATGAATGTTTCATGTATTGATAGATTTGTTAATTGGTTTTCCTATCATCTTAGTAATTTCCAATTTAGATGGTCATGGGAAGATTGGGAAAGTTGTTTAGCTTTGGACCCAGAGCATCCTAAACCAAAGTTCATTAGGGAAGTTATGCTGAAATCTATGAGGTAAGTTTTACTTGCTGTTGTCAGTAATTTGAAGTTAAAAACAAATATAAATGAAGGACAATAAAATATGAATTAACGAAATAAATAAATTAGCTTTTTGAATTTTAAATACATTAACAACTCATTTTGGGGCCGACAATGTACATTTCTTTTCTGTTTGTTTCAGATTGTCTTATCGGCAGCGAATAGTGGAAATTCTCCCCGAGTCGTTTTCTTGTTTCATTCCAGCAAAAGCAGAACCTGATTATAAATATGCAAAAGAAGGTGGTGGTAAGTAAATAAATATAATTAATTGTTAATTTTAGCTTCGCTTTATTTTATGAAAAATTCTTTCAAGAATATTCCTTATTTTGTTTATAAAATAGGGAAAGTTCAGTATTTATTGATCATTAATATGCACTTAATAAAACTTCGTATTTTTATATCGCTTATACTACCAACATCAGAAGTGTAGATGTTGAAGTGGTCTAGACTTATTTTAATTACTGCATATATTTATTCACCTTGTTTTTTATTTACCTATCATAAATGAAAAGGATATAATCGAACAATCTATTTTAACTATTACACTTAATATCTAAAAATCTTTTTGGTTTAAAAACATTGAATAACTTGCTTTCAATGTTAGAAATAAATAATAAATTTGTACATGCAATCAATGAAATTAAATGATTCACTGATAAATCTCTATTGAATTTATACGTTGCAAGAAATTAATAAACACTACTGATAATTATTTTTTAAATTGTGGTTTAAGTTTTGATTACTTAAAATCAGATCAAATAATACCTTACATTAATAGAGACTTACTTTCATCATTCCTCTATGTAAACGTGAGATAATGTGTAAATTTGTATATATTATATCAAACAGTTTTTGTAATTACGCCTTTTCTGGTGCGTTGTTTGGGTGGGGGTTGTAGTTTTGATTTATTCTTCATTATGTTAATACTATTACTGTCATTTTTTTCTGCTTGAACATAATCGATTGCCCTTGCGTGGTTTACCACCGAAAGGGTAATATTATTTAAAAAACTTTTTATATCTGGTACTGACGTTTCAATATCATTTTCAGTTTTCGCTTTGTTGTTGTTAGGAAATTCGGCTTCAAATACGATAAAATCGTTATGCTTATTAGTGATTTCTTTAACCAAAGCTTTGACCATTGTTCCACTTTCATATTTACCTGGTTTACTTGTTATTTTTGTTCTATTGGGCTTTGTTATTATGTAGCTGATGCTGGTACTAACACTTTGAGATGTAGGTATTTCTTCTTGATCTTCATTCATGGTGTAGTGCGCCATCATTTTCATTTTCTCAATATTCAAAGTGCTTTTGTCAGTATTAGGTTTTTTGATTACTGCTTTAAGTTGAGTTTCTTGCTCTTCGTTCACTGTAACATTTTCCGGGGTTTTAGTAGGAGCGAAGAAGAAGTTGGAGAATATAATCTTTGGAGTAGATTTTACTTCGGTCGTTTTTTCACTATCTACAGCGTCTTCAGTTTCTTCGGTCTCTTCAGTTTTTGTTGAAGTGATGTCGTAATCCATTCTGTCGTTTATTTTTGAAGAAGCAGACACAGACGTGGTTGCTGTTTTATGGCTTGGTCCAAATAATTCTTCTAGAATAGATACGTTTGATTCTTCTAATTTCTCAATACTGCTTGGCGTTTTTTTCGTGGTGGTGATATGTTTTGTTGTGCCAAATATATCGTTTACAAAATTAGTGTTTTGATTGTTTTGGCTTGTCTTCTTTGGAATATTTATACTTGGGTTTGTTTTATTTATCAATAAAGGGAGTTTAGTAGTTGTCCTAACTATTAATGGTTTCGTTTTTGGTTTTGGAATAGCGGTAGGTATATTTTGAGAAGCTGTAAGAGATGAATTTTCGTCGGTCATGTTTAGTTCTACTATAGTTTCTTTGGATAACACAATTGTTGAAACTGTTTGAAAAGGTATTGTTTTTGTGGAGAATCGTGTAATTTTGGATGTTGCACTAGTTTCTGTAGTAGTTTCTTCACGGGTTTCTGTAGTTGTTCCATTCAACGAAAAAGTAGTAGTTTCACTGGTTTCTTTATTGAATGAAGTGTACGTCTGCTTTGTTGGAATGTTTGTAGTCTTTGCATTTACCAGTGATTTATTTATTTCTGGTGAAATTTCTTCAACTGTTTCTGATTTTGTTTCTGACTTTTGTATTTCAACTACTGTTGCTCTTTGATTATTTTTTTCTGATGATGTAGTTACGGCTTTGTTCTCTTTTGGCAAAGAAGTGGTGGTGTGTTGTTTATTTGTTTCAGTAAGGGTACTTGCGGATGGAGGAGTAAATGTTTTAACGGTACTTGTTTCGTAATAATGGGTAAATGGATTTTCAGTTTTCATAATCTCCATTATGGGTCGAAGTAGGTCTAAAATTGGTGTAAGTAAGGTGTTTTGATCGGTAATAGGGATAATTTCGAATTCTGGAGAAGATTTACTGGAAGGCGTCGTTTGCAACTTTGTGGAGTAGGGCTGGACTTTTCCAGCTGTTTCTATTCCGTACTTCGATATTTTTGAAATGGTCGTAGTTGAAGGAGTTGTTCTCATTTTGGTAGTGTAACTACTGGAAAAACGATTTTTTGTCGATGTTTTTGAACTAATTGATCGATAATTTCCTAAAGGTCCAAGTCTTGCTGATAACTTCATCTGTGATTTTGGTTTTTTATTTTCCGAAGTTGTAGAATGTGGTTTCGGGAGGGATGTTGTGCCAGAAGTAACTGTACTGTATGGTGTCGGTGGTGGATTTGAAAATAACGTCTGTGCTGTCGACAAAGCAAAGTCGTTGTCTTTAGCATTTGTTGAGCTATACATTGTTGTTTTGGAATATTCTCGTGATATTGTTGGTAGGATAAGTAAGGGAGTTGCTTCTTTTGATTGTGACAATGGGTTAGATATTGTGCTTTGCATTTTTTTAATGTGCGTTGCATATGTAGGGCTGGTTGTATGATGGTTGCGTAACCCAATTTCGTACGACATGCTAAAACTTGGAGGTTTATCTAAAATTGCTCCTGGAGGAAAGCGGTTTTCATTATTGAAGTGCTTTTCATGGTGGTCTTTGTTCTGAAGGGAACTATGTGCTGATGCTTTCTGTTGTAAAATATTGATTAGTTCCCGATAAAGCCCTTCTTCAGTTTTTGGTTTATTAGTGATTTGGTTTGAAACATGTCGATCTGGGAAAGTTTCTTTGGCCGATGGTGTTTCATCAATTTGATTGCTGATTTTTAGTGTACCGTAGGGGGTTGATGGTTTCGTTCGTTCAGTTAAGGGACGTTGACCCTCTGGTTGTGGTGGATACTGCACGTTCGTTGGAAGATATTCGTGAATATAATTGGGTGCTGCAGGTAAACTGGGTCGAAAAATTGGATTGGTCGGCTTCTCATCTTCACTGTATATTCTATGAGATTCTCGCAAATTTTCTTGAAGACGATGGCCGTTTAGACCACTTCGAAGAATGAATACATGCCCTGGAAAAGAAACATTAATTCCTGCCTTGATTAAGTGGAAATATATTCACCTGGTATATTATAATCAAAACGACCATCTCGTCTTAGCAACACTTTGTTGCTTCTATTTCCCATGGGTGATATGATGTACTTTAATTCGTGCCTAAATCCTCCATTAGATTCTCTATGTCTAATTTTTTTTACTGTCCACAATGCGATAAGCTTTTCGTCGTTGGGGGGCCTCCACGTTTGACACTGTCCCCCTGTACAAGTAGGGTTGGGGTTATGACACTCATCACAATCGTTTTGATAAGGGTCTTGTACGAAAAAGAAGCCTGAGTGACTAAAGTATAATTGACCCCTTGCAATAACCACTATATCGCCGAATGGTGTCACTTGATGGTCTTGACGTCCTGAAAAAGTTTCAAGAGACATAATGACATACGCAGTTTTTCATTTCTTTTGGAAGTATTATGATTGATTGCTCTTGTTGTTATGTTTTGCCTTGCATAAATAATTGACTTGTCAAATATGAAGGTGTCGAAATTGAACATCATGTTTTCTTTGTAGCAACATTGTAAATCTTCTGCCAGACATTAACGTCTGATTGTTAATCATACTCTTTCATCTCAAGATTGTAAATGGAGATAGTGATGTTATACCTTTTGTTCATGACTGATCAATGCAAAGATGTTTGAATGAAGAATTAAACTTCTCAGAAGGAGTTTTGTTGATATATTTATTGTTTTATAAGATAGGAAAATTTTAAATTTACTGCTTACTACCTACCCAGAATGGGGGCAGCTCTTAAGTAATTTCTCAGATTTGGATTTTTGTACAATCTATGGAAAGTTTGATAGACGGCTTCCCGAAGACCATGTTCCCACTCCGAAATGAGATTTTGGGAATTGATATATTGATTAACGTCATTTCTTCTTGAGTTTCTTATGGCAATTGTTTGCTGAAAAAATGCTACCTACAAAATATAAAAAATATTTTTAAACGGACTTTCGCGGCCAGTGGGTGGACTAATGTGTGCCTGATTCGGGTCTAAAGGTCATCGTCAGTTGGAGTTACGTTGTAACGTTTCGCTGGCTTCTTCAGAAACCTTCCATTTTCGATGCCGGATGTGCGAAACGTTAGGAAGCAACTCCAACCGACGACAGCCTTTGGATCCAAATCTGAACAGCATAAGTATTTTCAAACATTTGGGAAAATAAAAAGAATATGCATGTATTCATTTATTAATGCACGAACATAATTAAAATATTACTTAATTTATCAGCTTATTTCGTTATTTTTACCTAGTTATTTTTTATGGGCAATATTTACGTACGTATAGAAGGTGTATACATGCATGTGTAGTTTCGTTCTTGCGTGTTGTAGGGAAGTATGCAATTTAATTAATTAGACAGTGAAAGTTAATGAAAGTTTTTGATGAATAAGAAAATACATTTTCCTGTCACTGAAAATTCTGAATTTTATGTTTTTGAGTAACAGAAAAATAAAGATCAATAATGCGACTACTTCTATCACATAAGTTTTAAATTCAAATTTAATATTTATGAAAATTATAAAAATAAAATAAACGCCAAAAATTTTTGATTCTTCTATTATCAAACATACAATGTTGATTTTTTGTGGTAGTTTGTGTTAATGATTTTAATTAGGTCTTTTAGGGTTGAAAAAATGTCGCATTTTACTTGAGTGATAAAACTAATTTTTCTATTCCTCGGGAACAGTAGTTTTTTTTTCTGAATAAAACGTAGTCTATGCCCTTTTCTGTACCCTTGACAATGTGTGTACAAAATTTCATGATGATTGGTTGAGGTGTGAAATGGTAATAAACAAACAAACTCACATTCGCATTTATAATATTAATTAGGATTGAATCACAACTACTACAAGTAGCACTTTTTTTCTAAATTCACACAAACTAATTATAAGATTATAAAGAATGGGTAAACTCACACAAGCAAAATAAAGAAGACAAAAACTGCGATCCATATCTTCAGAAGGCACAATTCAACTTAGCTTCACTTTTCTCATTTACCATACTTTTTTTCACGCCTTCTAATTTTTCCGCGCCGTCTAAAACTTTGAAGATGTTCCCTCCTTCCTCCTTCGCATAAGCATTTTTCACTATCGTTATATTACTGCTTCACATACCTATTTTGCTTCGATAATTCGAACAAAATACTATTATGTAATGTCTTAAAGCGATTACTTCTTTGAATTATTAATGTTTAAGTGTTTTGCATACATGTGGGTATTAAATAGGTAATTATTTGTTGTTTTTTTTTTTTTTAACGGAACTAAAAATCTAATTAATTACATGATGTTTAAATAGTATTTGGCGTCCTTGGTTTTTTTGTGGAATTTGGAGGATGATGCGCTATAAAATATAATTTCATATTTTAATCCTAAAATTATGCAGGGTGGTTTGTTTATCCACCTAACAAACATACAGACACTGAACTCTTATCATAAGGATTACTTCTTTGGTACAAAACCCTACAAATGTTATTTTGTACTTTTTAAATGTTTTATGTGGGTATACGAAATTTAATAAAATTGTAATATTTTCCACAAAAAAGTTGTCTGGAAAGTGTCTTTCTTATATGAATGATCTATTAAATCTATTCAAAATATAGTTTTGTCAGTTGTTGGATTTTTATTTGGTATGTTTTTATTTGTTGTTAAACTTTACTCATTTTCTAATCGAACATGCAGTTTTTTTATCGACTCATGTACCTAACAAAATACTTTGGATGAGGTGATTTCAAAATCGAAAGTTATCCACGACGGAAGATATGACAAGAGAACTAGAAAACCATAATTATTCGTTCTTTCTGGCGTTACGCTTGAAGTGAAAAGGCTGGATTTTAATACATTTCAAAATTTCGACTTTAACGAAATTTCCTCTTAGTTAGTTACTACACTGACCTTAAACTACTTTTGTCAGTTTCTAAAATATTTTTCTGATTCATATCGGTAGTACATTATATTTAATTTAGTACTACCTCTAAATAGTTTTAAATATTTAATGATTTTATTGGTCGTCATTATTAGCTGTTGTTAAGTCGTCTTGTATAATAATGCATTTTCTCTTATACAAATGTTCACATCACTTTTCTCTTAAACTATTTTACCATTTCTGGTACATTCAACTTTAATATGCTTTAATTGTAGTAGTCTACACACAATTAAATTACTAAGTAATTTAAATTAATTGTTAAAAGAAGGTGGAAAAATGAGAAAATTTTATGATAATGTACAGCATCCAGAACGTTATTATAACAACTGAGTAGCGTGACGAAGTGATGAACTTCTCTTATAGGAAGGTACTATTTAAGTAATTTTTTATGCACTTGTGAATATAACCTACTTATTTGAACGACCACTCTCACTTTTGTAAAACTGTTATTTAAACTGCATTAAGTACCTGCTGGAAAAAAAGTTTTTCATTTTTGTTATTTAGTTTCTTTTTGTAGAAGTAGCGTGATATACATTTTCGTTTTCCAGCCCCAGTTCCTGGAGTGCAGACTGCTCATCAGTTAGTTATATCAATAAGACAGAAATGTACCCCCGAGGAAGTGCTAGGCGTCCTTAAAGATCTTCCTAATCCTAGGTCCGAAGAAGAAGCCGATAGTAGATTTAATCCGTTCAAAATTGACGTTTTCGTACAGACGCTGCTAAATTTGGGCTCGAAGAGTTTTTCTCACAGTTTCGCTGCAATCTCCAAATTCCATTACGTATTTAAGGTAGGTACTTGATCTTTTCAATTTTCTCTATTTTTCTTAGGTTGGATATTTTTGATTTCAAGATTTTGGCTGAGTCTGAGGAAGCTCAGATTTGCGTCTTGAGGAACATGTTCGAACTGTGGCACAATCATCAGCAGATGATGGTGGTACTGGTCGACAAGATGTTGAAGACACAGATAGTGGAATGCTCTGCTGTGGCTAATTGGATTTTTTCGAAAGAGATGCAGGTTGAATTTACCAAAGTCTACCTGTGGGAAATTCTGCATCTGACGATCAAGAAAATGAATAAGCACGTTATAAAACTGACAGGAGAATTGAATGAATCGCGTGAAAAATTGGCACGCGCTGAGTCGAGTTCTAGCGAGTCCGAAGATGATGATACTGTTTCGAAAAAGAAGGCGGAAAATTCTGAAAAACCGACCGAAGAAATGGTCGAAAGAATGGAGGAGAAACTGGAAGCTGCTCAAGCTGATCAGAAAAACCTATTCTTGATTGTCTTTCAAAGGTTTATAATGGTACTGTCCGAACATTTGGTGAGATGTGACACTGACGGGCGAGACTACAACACCCATTGGTATAAGTGGACCATTGGAAGGTTACAGCAAGTATTTCTCGAGGTAGATATGAAAAAGTCTTTGATAACAATTGTAATTATTGTTTACAAATTAGTATTATTTCCAGCCCCATTTTTCTTTAAATTTTTCCTTTATCAGTCTTTTTTCCAGTTTACCAAAAGTGTTAGTACGTACTTATTTTATGTTTATGTATTTTAGCATCATGAGCAAGTTCAGAAGTACAGTTCGACACTGGAAACGCTCCTATTTACTCAGGATTTGGACCCTCACATTTTAGAAGTGTTCCAACAATTTGTTTCTTTACAAGCGTAATTTTGACCCATAGAAGAATAAAAAAATTAATGAATAAAAAGTATTTTACAACGTGACCTTGCATGGCGTTAAGGACTGTAAACATTTTACTTTTGTATAAATAATTATTTAAATAAATAACAGGGAAGTTTTTAATAAACTTTAGCTTTTTCAGGGTAAATAAAAGTCCACGGCAGATAAAACAAGATTAATTGCCGCTATATCTAAAAGTTTCAGTATTTTTACTTCGTTTGAAAGATATTGTAATAAAACAGTATTGTCTTACGAAGAAAAAAATAGTTTTGAAGGAATTTGAAGATTTCTTATTAATTTGTAAGGACATTGAAGACTCGATACACATATGTTCTTTTTTAATTTCACAATTTGATTTTTGTTTTATTTGTATTGCATTTTTAATTTTATTTATTCATCTTAAACAAAAAATATTTTGTTATGGATTTGTGGTTTTATTTATGTTATTATGGTAGCACTTTGATGGTATTTTGCTATCTTATTTCTTAAACATCCTAGGTTTTATTAATTTGTATTACACATTCATATTACTTAGATTAATTTTATGTTAATTACATGGAACACTCTTTTTAATACTTATCAATGAACAGGTAATTTATTTAGTTACTTGAGTGGTAATACTTTATTATCACATGTTCATAGAATTTCTATGAAAGCCCTTGCTATTATAGAATTTCATTAAACATTAAACACCTTTCATAAACTTCATAAAGCAGTACTTTCATTAGTACTACTCATTTTCATTAGTTAGATTAATTTTATTTTAATTATAATACTACTTAACACTATGATCTATCTTTAATTGGTATTTTTTGTGGTAACACCTTGTTACCATATATTCTTAGCATTTTCTATGATAACACCTTGCTATCATAGGATTTCATCAAGCCTTGAACACCTTTCATAAACGTCATGCATTTTCACACCACAACTTTACGTTCCTTAAATTAATTTTATTTTACTTACAATACTACTTAATATTGTGATCTATCAACACGTAATTTTTGGTATTTTTTGTGGTAACACCTTGTTACCATATATTCTTAGCATTTTCCATGATAACACCTTGCTATCATAGGATTTCATCAAGCCTTGAACACCTTTCATAAACGTCATGCATTTTCACACCACAACTTTACGTTCCTTAAATTAATTTTATTTTACTTACAATACTACTTAATATTGTGATCTATCAACACGTAATTTTTGGTATTTTTTGTGGTAACACCTTGTTACCATATATTCTTAGCATTTTCCATGATAACACCTTGCTATCATAGGATTTCATCAAACATTAAACATCATTCATAAACGTCATGTATTTTAGTACCACTACTAATTTACGTTATTTCGATTAATTTTATGTTAATTACAATACTACTTAATATTATGATCTATCAGCACGTAAATTATGGTATTTTTGTGGTAACACCTTGTTACCATATATTCTTAGCATTTTCCATGATAACACCTTGCTATCATAGGATTTCATCAAACATTAAACATCTTTCATAAACGTCATGTATTCTAGTACCACTACTTATTTACATTCGTTCAATTAATTTTATTTTAATTACAGTACTACTTAATATTATGGTCTATCAACACGTAATTTATGGTATTTTTTATGGTAACACATTGTTATCACATATTCTTTGCAATTTCCATGATAACACCTTGCAATCATAGGATTTCATCAAACATTAAACATCTTTCATAAACGTCATGTATTCTAGTACCACTACTTATTTACATTCGTTCAATTAATTTTATTTTAATTACAGTACTACTTAATATTATGGTCTATCAACACGTAATTTATGGTATTTTTTATGGTAACACATTGTTATCACATATTCTTTGCAATTTCCATGATAACACCTTGCAATCATAGGATTTCATCAAACATTAAACATCTTTCATAAACGTCATGTATTCTAGTACCACTACTTATTTACATTCGTTCAATTAATTTTATTTTAATTACAGTACTACTTAATATTATGGTCTATCAACACGTAATTTATGGTATTTTTTATGGTAACACATTGTTATCACATATTCTTTGCAATTTCCATGATAACACCTTGCAATCATAGGATTTCATCAAACATTAAACATCTTTCATAAACGTCATGTATTCTAGTACCACTACTTATTTACATTCGTTCAATTAATTTTATTTTAATTACAGTACTACTTAATATTATGGTCTATCAACACGTAATTTATGGTATTTTTTATGGTAACACATTGTTATCACATATTCTTTGCAATTTCCATGATAACACCTTGCAATCATAGGATTTCATCAAACATTAAACATCTTTCATAAACGTCATGTATTCTAGTACCACTACTTATTTACATTCGTTCAATTAATTTTATTTTAATTACAGTACTACTTAATATTATGGTCTATCAACACGTAATTTATGGTATTTTTTATGGTAACACATTGTTATCACATATTCTTTGCAATTTCCATGATAACACCTTGCAATCATAGGATTTCATCAAACATTAAACATCTTTCATAAACGTCATGTATTCTAGTACCACTACTTATTTACATTCGTTCAATTAATTTTATTTTAATTACAGTACTACTTAATATTATGGTCTATCAACACGTAATTTATGGTATTTTTTATGGTAACACATTGTTATCACATATTCTTTGCAATTTCCATGATAACACCTTGCAATCATAGGATTTCATCAAACATTAAACATCTTTCATAAACGTCATGTATTCTAGTACCACTACTTATTTACATTCGTTCAATTAATTTTATTTTAATTACAGTACTACTTAATATTATGGTCTATCAACACGTAATTTATGGTATTTTTTATGGTAACACATTGTTATCACATATTCTTTGCAATTTCCATGATAACACCTTGCAATCATAGGATTTCATCAAACATTAAACATCTTTCATAAACGTCATGTATTCTAGTACCACTACTTATTTACATTCGTTCAATGAATTTTATTTTAATTACAGTACTACTTAATATTATGGTCTATCAACACGTAATTTATGGTATTTTTTATGGTAACACATTGTTATCACATATTCTTTGCAATTTCCATGATAACACCTTGCAATCATAGGATTTCGTCAAACATTAAACACCATTCATAAACGTCATGCATTTCAGTACCACTATTTATTTACATTCGTTCAATTAATTTTATTTTAATTACAGTACTACTTAATATTATGATCTATCAACACGTAATTTATGGTATTTTTTGTGGTAACACATTGTTACCACATATTCTTAGCATTTTCTATGGTAACACCTTGCTATCATAGGATTTCATCAAGCCTTGAACACCTTTCATAAACGTCATATATTTACATTCGTTCGATTAATTTTTTTAATTATAATACTACTTAATACTATGATCTATCTTTAATTGGTATTTTTTGTGGTAACACCTTGTTACCACATATTCTCAGTATTTTCTATGATAACACCTTGCTATCATAGGATTTCGTCAAACATTAAACACCATTTATAAACGTCATGCATTTCAGTACCACTACTTATTTACATTCTTTCGATTAATTTTATTTTAATTAATTAAGATACTACTTAATATTAGGATCTATAAACTGGTAATTTATTGAGTTATTTTAGTGCGAACGTCTTGTTATCACATGTACGTGGTGTACACATTAGTGATAACATCAGTTATTACCAGACTAACTTACTAGTAACATATTTACCATATTGAGTCAGTTGATAATAATTTACAGTAAAACTTGCAAAATATCACTGTTCACTTATTTTGGTTCGCGTATTATTTATATTAGTTGTCTTACATCGGCTATTCTCGTTAGACACTTTACTTATACATACTGTTATTGAACATATTTTATAGTGTCCGGAAACTTCTCGAAAGTTCCTTTTGTCGCACTAACTTTGTGTGTTGTCCGCATATGATTTATTACACGGTTATTGACCTGGCAGCGTTATCAAAGGTGCCGCCGTATAGGTTTTAAATGAAAAACACATTAAAAAAAAAACGAAGTTATTATTGACTTTATAAAACTCATTTAGTAAAGTAAAGTCTTATTTACATTGTATAGAAATGCATATTTTATCTTGAACTCTACAACAAAGAACATATCAGTCCATGACAAAGGCGCACTTTTATACAATAAGTTTAGTGCCAAAGAGGAGGGGTAGGGCTGTACATTGTAGTTCAACTGTACAGATCATTTAGAATAATTTCCTAATCGTCTCAGACGCTTTTTTTTCGATGGTGATTACTTGGAGGCTGTTTGCTGATTATTTGGAAATACGATTTGAACCACTTGCTCGATATTATTCACGAAATGAACCTCCAAACCTTCAGTTATATATTTAGGTAGATCATTGTAGTCTTTCTTATTTTCTTCTGGAAGTATTATACAATCTACGCCTGTTCGTTTAGCCTAAAACAAACGAAATACAAAAGTATTCTCATACATTTGTTTTATAAAAATAATTTGCTTACAGCAATCGTTTTTTCTTTGATGCCTCCAACGGGAAGAATTTTTCCCATTAGCGAGATTTCTCCTGTCATTGCACAATTTTGCCTTATTGGTTGGTTTCTGGCTAGCGATAACAAAGCAGTGACAATTGTACAACCAGCACTGGGACCATCTTTAGGTGTCGCGCCTTCGGGAACGTGCAAATGTATGTGACTAAATAAGAAAAAATTCACTGATAGCTTTTCAGGATATAAACATATGGGAAAAATACAATTTATAGTACCATCTCTTACGAAAGATTAAATATAAGTAAATATTTACTTTATGTCGAGGAATCGGTTGTCTGGATTAACTTTTCGCATATAATTTCTAGCAACTGTGAGAGCTATTTTGGCAGATTCTTTCATCACTTCCCCTAAGTGTCCAGTAAGTTCTAAAGTACCTTCTACTTCTTTATCTGTTGGCGGCCTTTTCTTTGTTGTTTCAATATAGAGAGTTGAACCCCCTTTTAAAAATAGCCATTAAAATTCAGGCAAGTTGATTTTTAACAATTATAAGTTATCGAGTAATTAAATTTGGAATGATAACTGTAATTAGGAAATAATAGAATTTTTTGATATACCTACCCATAGCGGTCCAGGCAAGTCCCATAACGACTCCGGGGGGTGTTTGAGGGTACATACGTTCTTGAGTGAACATTGGTTTGCCCACGAATGTTTGCAAATTATCCTTTGTAACCTCCACAAACTTGGTTTCGTCTTTAACTATTTTATACGCCACCTTTCGTACTACCTATTTAAATAAACATAAAAAGCGTATTACATAGTGTATTTAGCCAAATACTTATACATTATTTTCTTACCTTTTCGATGTGTTTTTGTAAGTTCCTAACTCCAGATTCTCGGCAATAATTTTTAATCAGCAGAGTTAGTGCACTATCATCAATTTTAATGTTGCTATCCTTGAGACCACTGTCCTTCATCTACTTAATATTATGGTCTATCAACACGTAATTCTTAGCATTTTCCATGATAACACCTTGCTATCATAGGATTTCATCAAACATTAAACATCTTTCATAAACGTCATGTATTCTAGTACCACTACTTATTTACATTCGTTCNCCTTTTCGATGTGTTTTTGTAAGTTCCTAACTCCAGATTCTCGGCAATAATTTTTAATCAGCAGAGTTAGTGCACTATCATCAATTTTAATGTTGCTATCCTTGAGACCACTGTCCTTCATCGCCTAAAAGAATTAATTTTATATTAGACAATATATTTTAGGATTTGTAACCAATTTAATTAAGTTATATTATGCCCTTTTTTAGTTTCACAAACTGATAAGGATTTTACCTGCGGTACTAGATATTGTTTTGCGATCGCCAATTTTTCTTCTGCTACATAACCGGACATTTCTATCATCTCCATTCGGTCTCTTAGAGGCTCTGGAATGGTCTCGGTGACGTTTGCCGTACAAATGAATAAAATTTTCGATAAATCAACTGGGACATCCAAATAATGATCCAGGAAGTTAGCATTTTGTTCTGGGTCTAAAAGTTCTAGTAATGCTGAACTAGGGTCTCCTTGATATCCCCTAGAATAATTACAAACATGTCATTGATAAATAATTAGCTTCAATTAAAAGAAAATGTTTCTTACTTTCCTATTTTGTCAACTTCATCTATCAGAACAAGAGGATTTTCGGTCCGAGTTTTTTTCAAGCATTGAATAACTTTTCCTGGCATGGCGCCCACATATGTTCTCCGATGACCCTTTATTTCTGCTACGTCGGTCATCCCCCCCACAGAAAACCTGAAATATTCGCGATTAAGGGCCCTCGCTATGGATCTAGCTAGTGAAAGTAAATCAAATTAGTATAAAAATTTACTGTGTAAATTTAAGTTATCTTACCTATACTCGTTTTACCAACTCCTGGTGGTCCATGAAAACAAAGAATTTTCCCTTGTGTGCTTCCTTTCAGCTGACTGACTGCTATAAATTCTAAAATACGTTTTTTAATATCTTCCATTCCGTAATGGTCCTCTTCTAGAATTTCTTTTGCACGTTCAATGTTTAAATTCTCTTCAGTTCTAACACCCCATGGAATAGAAGTCAACCAGTCCAAATAATTTCGAGTAACGCTAAAAATAAAATTTATCATTCCATTTATTCAAAAATAATTACTGGAAATCTTTATAATTACTTAAATTCTGAACTGTGATTTTCCAAAAAGCTAAGTTTGCTTAGTTCCTCTTCAATTACAGTTTGTACAGCTTTTGGTAGGGTTTTGTTTTTGATACGTTCTTTAAATTTCTCTGCTATGGCATCTTTGTCTTCTTTTTCTAAACCAAGTTCCTTTTTTATCACCTATAAAAAAACGAACAGATTTACGCAATAAATTAAATTAGAAATTATTTCAAATTACCTTAAGTTGCTCCTGTAAAATGTATTTTCTGTGATGCTGTTTAACTTTCTCTTCAACTTCTCGACCAATTTTTTGCTGTAATTTTGAAAGTTCATATTCTTTTTTTAATAAAGACAAGGTGAGCATCAGCCTTTTTGGAATCTAAAAATAAATTATTTTGAAATGACAAACGCAGTTAAAGATTTAAAAATGAAGCTTACATCTAATTCTTCTAAGACTTCTTGAAGTTCATGGGGTTCAGCTGCTGTTAATGCAGCTCCTAAATCACTTAAGTATACGGGATTATCAACAACTCTTTGTCCTTGATGCATCATTTGTTGTAAACTATCTCTATATAATGGATTTAAACTAATTATATCCCTTATTGTTTTGATAACTTCCTGCGTTAATGCTTTAACTTCTTCATTTTGTCTAAATTTGTTGTGTATAATGTTTTCTACTTCAACCATAAGTACTGGCTCTGGTTTCGCTTCTTTGCTGACTTTTTCTTCACTTTCCCTTTTTTCAGTTTCAGTGACTTTCTTTTCAGTATCTGCAGATTTTACTGTCGGCGCTATTGATTTCTTTCGCCTGTTGCGCCTCCCCTTTTCCTCGTTTTCCTCTACAAATACGTTCAATGTTGTTTTAAAAAGAGGAAAGTTGAGTTTCATTTCTGGAGAACAAAAAAGTTGAATTGGATTCTGAAATTTCTACATCAGAGACCCAACTGACTTTGTAGTGGGATTGAGAGATAAAGGAAGGTTTAAATTCTCTAGGGTTTTCATTAAAAACATTAGTTTTGTTTAGTTGACAATGAAATACAAAAATAATGTAGATGTACTGTTTGCAGTGCACATTTTATAATTTATCTTTAAAATTAAATGGTTTCATGTAACACTGGTATTTTTCTTGCAATATGAAAATATTTATAAATGGATGTACCTTTAGGAGGAGGGTCATCATCAAATTCAAATAGTTGCCCTGTAATTTGAATTCTTCGATGGGCCATTACTACAAGTCTTATTCGATCTCCCAAGTCTTGCATTTCATGGATTTGTGCAAATACACCCACTTTATAGATATCATTCAAGTTACTAACTACTTCTGACTCATTTTCTTCATTCTTTTTGAGAAATATACCACAATAGGGTTGATTCAACTTCACTTTTCTTCTAATTAATTCCATTAACTGAGGATTTGTTATCTACAAAACCAAGCATCTTAGTTATTAACTTGTTAATATCAACATTGTTAGTGGTGATACATCATTGATAATATTTTAGATTTATCATGTTAAGTATCTACTTACTTCTATTAGCTTAATAAATCTAGGAAATACAATATTTCTACTAATGGCAATGACAGGAAGATGTGGCCACACTTCGGGAACAGCAACAGTTGCTGGTAAATGTGGTTGTGCATCGTATTCATCTTGAGGGGGGCCCTCTTCAGTACCCTTATTTACATAAAATCTGTAACCTATCGAACAAACTTGAACTCCTTTATCCCATTGAAATAAATTACTAGATCTTCCAGTGGACTTAATATAATAAGTATTTCTTAACTGAACTTTGTCCGAAACATTAGAATTTCTAGAAAGTGTGGTTAGAATAGATGAAACACTGGCATGATAACCTCTTCGTAAGCGAATAAATTGCTGACAATGCCGCACTACATGAGATTTCCACAATGAATTTGCGAGAATCATTTTTTCTTAATGCTGTTTCGGCTGTTATTATATAGTTAATTATTTACAAAAAAGAAAAACATCCCGTTTTTTAAACTGGTAACAAAAATCCATCAATGACAACACCTATAGAGTAGAATGATGAATGTCGTCTATGTCTATGATGACAACAAATGACAAATGCCTGATTTTAATAGTGGCTAGATTATGGTCTCTGAATTTGCAAGTGTCCACCAAATCGTATTTCGAATCATGTACATATATATATATTTAAATTTAGAGCGGGAAGGCGTTAATCTTAAGTTTGTAAATTTTGGGCGGAACATTAAAAAGGGCGAATTACTATTTCACTAAGGTTTGCCTGGTTCTCTTTAGAATTTCTTGATATTTCTATGCAAGTTAATGTTTTTTCGCTTTTTGTGAAGTATAATACATATTAGCATTGTTTAAAATAAAAATTTCACCTTAATCTAATCGATAATTTAAATTTTATAATTTTTTGAGTGTCATCATATTACTAACTGAATATTAATATTTAATATACTTTGAATTGACTGCACCGTCACGCATGTTCCATAAAAATCTGAAATATAGCGATCGGCGACCATGAAGTAGATTATAGTTAATCCTTAAAATCGATATTATAATTATCTTGTATATCCTTCTAGATTATGTACTCCATTTAATTAGAAATATCAACAAAAGAAGGCATATGGCGTTTGTGCGTCACACAAAGAGTTCTTTTATAGTTGTGAAAGACTAATTAACAAAGTCATACGAATCATATGAGAAAACATCGCTAATATTTGTTACTTAAATATTTAGGACGCGCTCATGATCGCATAATTATCACATTTGAAATATTAACTTGTATAATGTATATGTAATTTATATTTGTGTGTACAACAGCAAGCAAGCAAGCAAATTAATGCTTATTTAGTTGTTTCTTAAAAGAGTTGATAACAATTAAGTCGGCGTTTATCTGATTCATACTGGCGTAAAATTGTTGTAATTTATGTAAGTAAGTAATGTTGTTAACGTCAGAGCGGATGGAATGATTTTTGCATTCTAAAAAAAAACTTATTTTGGGCGTATAATTTTTTTCAAATTTGCATTTTATCCATTGCAACCATTTACGTAGGCGCTGAGGTGATTTGTGTGTTCCAATATAATAATACTAATAATAATTAAACCTAATAAAAGTTTCGCGGTGCAATAAATTTTAATGACAGAGTGCCGACTGTGTGATGTAAACAGTGTAATCTTGAATACATATTAATTGTTTTATGATAATTAACCGAAAGAAAGGATGTGCCTGATGGTCCAAGTAAACTAAATCTAAAGTATCTAATAAGCTGGTGGGCGATTACTATCTAATGCTACACTTCAAAGTTTTAATTTAGTGAATTAAAAATTAACGGTGAGCTTTTCATTTTTATAATTAATACAGATTTAAATTGTCTGTCAGGTGCGTAATTGGGACTGTTACCATTTTTTTACTTACACGGACGAATTGAAAGAATTTAAAACAGTCGTTTTTCAAATTTTTCACGAAACTTTTTATTTCGAATTGATATTAAAGAGAAAATGACCTTATAATATATCGTTCTAATTAGCACTAGAAGAAAATACTCCATAATATACTAACAATAGTAACTTTATTATAACTTTTGGTTACACATACTTATTCCATGTTTCGCTTAATTGTACTATGCCGTGTTCCCCCATAAAACCCAAAACAGTATTATCTTTATTCTTTATCCCTGTCATGTTCCGAGCTAACCCCTTAATATTCTTTAATCTTTTCTTCCATCTTCTTCTCTGCTTACACACCTCTTCCCTACGAAATGCCCATTTTCCTACCTTTTTTTTACTAGTTCTTCCACTTCTTCATTCCATACCCATATCACTCCATCTATTATTATTTTCTTATATCCAACGTTGATTGTCTTCTCTCCTGTTTTACCTTTCTCTCTAGCATCTTCTGTATTCTTCCCTCTGTTCTCTTTACCATTTCTAATTATTTGTATCTTATCTTCACACTTCTCCGTATATACCTCATATATTTTCCTCTGAAGCTTCCATACCTCCACCTTCAATCCCATCTTCTCTTTTATTATTCTCCCCAATTCCTTCTTTTCCTTGTTCCTGTCTAACTCTATTCCAAAAATTATTACGTTTCACTTCTTTTATTCTTTTATTCTCTTTTCTTTTCTAATTCTATTTCCATTCTCCTTATTCATTTCTTCTGTTCTTCTACATGTTTCTCCACACAATTTTCTATTTCCAAATCTTCCAATACCAACTCTTTCACTTCTTCTTTTAAGTTGTCCTTTCCTATTCTAAATATTTCCTTATGCCTTTTTTTATCGCTCTTATCCAGTTCTTCCAATTTCTTTACTTTATCTTTAATTTGTTTCTTAATGTTCAGTAATTTAAAATTTTAAGTATATAACGGTGTTGCTTGATGATTGTATAATTATTTCATAACCAACTTTTCTTTTGTTGGTATCAGTGGTGATAAAACGGTCACAGTTGTTTCAGATTATGCAAAGTTTTTTTATGAGCGTTAATAACAATATTTGCGTATGGTATTAAAGCGAAGAACAAATATAAAAAATTAACGATTTCGAAACTGAGGAAATAAAATGAGTAGTAAAACTGATTACTACGTGTTACGTAAACTACTATTGTATTAATATTTCTTAGTAANATACGTTCTTGAGTGAACATTGGTTTGCCCACGAATGTTTGCAAATTATCCTTTGTAACCTCCACAAACTTGGTTTCGTCTTTAACTATTTTATACGCCACCTTTCGTACTACCTATTTAAATAAACATAAAAAGCGTATTACATAGTGTATTTAGCCAAATACTTATACATTATTTTCTTACCTTTTCGATGTGTTTTTGTAAGTTCCTAACTCCAGATTCTCGGCAATAATTTTTAATCAGCAGAGTTAGTGCACTATCATCAATTTTAATGTTGCTATCCTTGAGACCACTGTCCTTCATCGCCTAAAAGAATTAATTTTATATTAGACAATATATTTTAGGATTTGTAACCAATTTAATTAAGTTATATTATGCCCTTTTTTAGTTTCACAAACTGATAAGGATTTTACCTGCGGTACTAGATATTGTTTTGCGATCGCCAATTTTTCTTCTGCTACATAACCGGACATTTCTATCATCTCCATTCGGTCTCTTAGAGGCTCTGGAATGGTCTCGGTGACGTTTGCCGTACAAATGAATAAAATTTTCGATAAATCAACTGGGACATCCAAATAATGATCCAGGAAGTTAGCATTTTGTTCTGGGTCTAAAAGTTCTAGTAATGCTGAACTAGGGTCTCCTTGATATCCCCTAGAATAATTACAAACATGTCATTGATAAATAATTAGCTTCAATTAAAAGAAAATGTTTCTTACTTTCCTATTTTGTCAACTTCATCTATCAGAACAAGAGGATTTTCGGTCCGAGTTTTTTTCAAGCATTGAATAACTTTTCCTGGCATGGCGCCCACATATGTTCTCCGATGACCCTTTATTTCTGCTACGTCGGTCATCCCCCCCACAGAAAACCTGAAATATTCGCGATTAAGGGCCCTCGCTATGGATCTAGCTAGTGAAAGTAAATCAAATTAGTATAAAAATTTACTGTGTAAATTTAAGTTATCTTACCTATACTCGTTTTACCAACTCCTGGTGGTCCATGAAAACAAAGAATTTTCCCTTGTGTGCTTCCTTTCAGCTGACTGACTGCTATAAATTCTAAAATACGTTTTTTAATATCTTCCATTCCGTAATGGTCCTCTTCTAGAATTTCTTTTGCACGTTCAATGTTTAAATTCTCTTCAGTTCTAACACCCCATGGAATAGAAGTCAACCAGTCCAAATAATTTCGAGTAACGCTAAAAATAAAATTTATCATTCCATTTATTCAAAAATAATTACTGGAAATCTTTATAATTACTTAAATTCTGAACTGTGATTTTCCAAAAAGCTAAGTTTGCTTAGTTCCTCTTCAATTACAGTTTGTACAGCTTTTGGTAGGGTTTTGTTTTTGATACGTTCTTTAAATTTCTCTGCTATGGCATCTTTGTCTTCTTTTTCTAAACCAAGTTCCTTTTTTATCACCTATAAAAAAACGAACAGATTTACGCAATAAATTAAATTAGAAATTATTTCAAATTACCTTAAGTTGCTCCTGTAAAATGTATTTTCTGTGATGCTGTTTAACTTTCTCTTCAACTTCTCGACCAATTTTTTGCTGTAATTTTGAAAGTTCATATTCTTTTTTTAATAAAGACAAGGTGAGCATCAGCCTTTTTGGAATCTAAAAATAAATTATTTTGAAATGACAAACGCAGTTAAAGATTTAAAAATGAAGCTTACATCTAATTCTTCTAAGACTTCTTGAAGTTCATGGGGTTCAGCTGCTGTTAATGCAGCTCCTAAATCACTTAAGTATACGGGATTATCAACAACTCTTTGTCCTTGATGCATCATTTGTTGTAAACTATCTCTATATAATGGATTTAAACTAATTATATCCCTTATTGTTTTGATAACTTCCTGCGTTAATGCTTTAACTTCTTCATTTTGTCTAAATTTGTTGTGTATAATGTTTTCTACTTCAACCATAAGTACTGGCTCTGGTTTCGCTTCTTTGCTGACTTTTTCTTCACTTTCCCTTTTTTCAGTTTCAGTGACTTTCTTTTCAGTTTCTGCAGATTTTACTGTCGGCGCTATTGATTTCTTTCGCCTGTTGCGCCTCCCCTTTTCCTCGTTTTCCTCTACAAATACGTTCAATGTTGTTTTAAAAAGAGGAAAGTTGAGTTTCATTTCTGGAGAACAAAAAAGTTGAATTGGATTCTGAAATTTCTACATCAGAGACCCAACTGACTTTGTAGTGGGATTGAGAGATAAAGGAAGGTTTAAATTCTCTAGGGTTTTCATTAAAAACATTAGTTTTGTTTAGTTGACAATGAAATACAAAAATAATGTAGATGTACTGTTTGCAGTGCACATTTTATAATTTATCTTTAAAATTAAATGGTTTCATGTAACACTGGTATTTTTCTTGCAATATGAAAATATTTATAAATGGATGTACCTTTAGGAGGAGGGTCATCATCAAATTCAAATAGTTGCCCTGTAATTTGAATTCTTCGATGGGCCATTACTACAAGTCTTATTCGATCTCCCAAGTCTTGCATTTCATGGATTTGTGCAAATACACCCACTTTATAGATATCATTCAAGTTACTAACTACTTCTGACTCATTTTCTTCATTCTTTTTGAGAAATATACCACAATAGGGTTGATTCAACTTCACTTTTCTTCTAATTAATTCCATTAACTGAGGATTTGTTATCTACAAAACCAAGCATCTTAGTTATTAACTTGTTAATATCAACATTGTTAGTGGTGATACATCATTGATAATATTTTAGATTTATCATGTTAAGTATCTACTTACTTCTATTAGCTTAATAAATCTAGGAAATACAATATTTCTACTAATGGCAATGACAGGAAGATGTGGCCACACTTCGGGAACAGCAACAGTTGCTGGTAAATGTGGTTGTGCATCGTATTCATCTTGAGGGGGGCCCTCTTCAGTACCCTTATTTACATAAAATCTGTAACCTATCGAACAAACTTGAACTCCTTTATCCCATTGAAATAAATTACTAGATCTTCCAGTGGACTTAATATAATAAGTATTTCTTAACTGAACTTTGTCCGAAACATTAGAATTTCTAGAAAGTGTGGTTAGAATAGATGAAACACTGGCATGATAACCTCTTCGTAAGCGAATAAATTGCTGACAATGCCGCACTACATGAGATTTCCACAATGAATTTGCGAGAATCATTTTTTCTTAATGCTGTTTCGGCTGTTATTATATAGTTAATTATTTACAAAAAAGAAAAACATCCCGTTTTTTAAACTGGTAACAAAAATCCATCAATGACAACACCTATAGAGTAGAATGATGAATGTCGTCTATGTCTATGATGACAACAAATGACAAATGCCTGATTTTAATAGTGGCTAGATTATGGTCTCTGAATTTGCAAGTGTCCACCAAATCGTATTTCGAATCATGTACATATATATATATTTAAATTTAGAGCGGGAAGGCGTTAATCTTAAGTTTGTAAATTTTGGGCGGAACATTAAAAAGGGCGAATTACTATTTCACTAAGGTTTGCCTGGTTCTCTTTAGAATTTCTTGATATTTCTATGCAAGTTAATGTTTTTTCGCTTTTTGTGAAGTATAATACATATTAGCATTGTTTAAAATAAAAATTTCACCTTAATCTAATCGATAATTTAAATTTTATAATTTTTTGAGTGTCATCATATTACTAACTGAATATTAATATTTAATATACTTTGAATTGACTGCACCGTCACGCATGTTCCATAAAAATCTGAAATATAGCGATCGGCGACCATGAAGTAGATTATAGTTAATCCTTAAAATCGATATTATAATTATCTTGTATATCCTTCTAGATTATGTACTCCATTTAATTAGAAATATCAACAAAAGAAGGCATATGGCGTTTGTGCGTCACACAAAGAGTTCTTTTATAGTTGTGAAAGACTAATTAACAAAGTCATACGAATCATATGAGAAAACATCGCTAATATTTGTTACTTAAATATTTAGGACGCGCTCATGATCGCATAATTATCACATTTGAAATATTAACTTGTATAATGTATATGTAATTTATATTTGTGTGTACAACAGCAAGCAAGCAAGCAAATTAATGCTTATTTAGTTGTTTCTTAAAAGAGTTGATAACAATTAAGTCGGCGTTTATCTGATTCATACTGGCGTAAAATTGTTGTAATTTATGTAAGTAAGTAATGTTGTTAACGTCAGAGCGGATGGAATGATTTTTGCATTCTAAAAAAAAACTTATTTTGGGCGTATAATTTTTTTCAAATTTGCATTTTATCCATTGCAACCATTTACGTAGGCGCTGAGGTGATTTGTGTGTTCCAATATAATAATACTAATAATAATTAAACCTAATAAAAGTTTCGCGGTGCAATAAATTTTAATGACAGAGTGCCGACTGTGTGATGTAAACAGTGTAATCTTGAATACATATTAATTGTTTTATGATAATTAACCGAAAGAAAGGATGTGCCTGATGGTCCAAGTAAACTAAATCTAAAGTATCTAATAAGCTGGTGGGCGATTACTATCTAATGCTACACTTCAAAGTTTTAATTTAGTGAATTAAAAATTAACGGTGAGCTTTTCATTTTTATAATTAATACAGATTTAAATTGTCTGTCAGGTGCGTAATTGGGACTGTTACCATTTTTTTACTTACACGGACGAATTGAAAGAATTTAAAACAGTCGTTTTTCAAATTTTTCACGAAATTGAATTGGATTCTGAAATTTCTACATCAGAGACCCAACTGACTTTGTAGTGGGATTGAGAGATAAAGGAAGGTTTAAATTCTCTAGGGTTTTCATTAAAAACATTAGTTTTGTTTAGTTGACAATGAAATACAAAAATAATGTAGATGTACTGTTTGCAGTGCACATTTTATAATTTATCTTTAAAATTAAATGGTTTCATGTAACACTGGTATTTTTCTTGCAATATGAAAATATTTATAAATGGATGTACCTTTAGGAGGAGGGTCATCATCAAATTCAAATAGTTGCCCTGTAATTTGAATTCTTCGATGGGCCATTACTACAAGTCTTATTCGATCTCCCAAGTCTTGCATTTCATGGATTTGTGCAAATACACCCACTTTATAGATATCATTCAAGTTACTAACTACTTCTGACTCATTTTCTTCATTCTTTTTGAGAAATATACCACAATAGGGTTGATTCAACTTCACTTTTCTTCTAATTAATTCCATTAACTGAGGATTTGTTATCTACAAAACCAAGCATCTTAGTTATTAACTTGTTAATATCAACATTGTTAGTGGTGATACATCATTGATAATATTTTAGATTTATCATGTTAAGTATCTACTTACTTCTNGTTTCAAATTTTTCACGAAACTTTTTATTTCGAATTGATATTAAAGAGAAAATGACCTTATAATATATCGTTCTAATTAGCACTAGAAGAAAATACTCCATAATATACTAACAATAGTAACTTTATTATAACTTTTGGTTACACATACTTATTCCATGTTTCGCTTAATTGTACTATGCCGTGTTCCCCCATAAAACCCAAAACAGTATTATCTTTATTCTTTATCCCTGTCATGTTCCGAGCTAACCCCTTAATATTCTTTAATCTTTTCTTCCATCTTCTTCTCTGCTTACACACCTCTTCCCTACGAAATGCCCATTTTCCTACCTTTTTTTTACTAGTTCTTCCACTTCTTCATTCCATACCCATATCACTCCATCTATTATTATTTTCTTATATCCAACGTTGATTGTCTTCTCTCCTGTTTTACCTTTCTCTCTAGCATCTTCTGTATTCTTCCCTCTGTTCTCTTTACCATTTCTAATTATTTGTATCTTATCTTCACACTTCTCCGTATATACCTCATATATTTTCCTCTGAAGCTTCCATACCTCCACCTTCAATCCCATCTTCTCTTTTATTATTCTCCCCAATTCCTTCTTTTCCTTGTTCCTGTCTAACTCTATTCCAAAAATTATTACGTTTCACTTCTTTTATTCTTTTATTCTCTTTTCTTTTCTAATTCTATTTCCATTCTCCTTATTCATTTCTTCTGTTCTTCTACATGTTTCTCCACACAATTTTCTATTTCCAAATCTTCCAATACCAACTCTTTCACTTCTTCTTTTAAGTTGTCCTTTCCTATTCTAAATATTTCCTTATGCCTTTTTTTATCGCTCTTATCCAGTTCTTCCAATTTCTTTACTTTATCTTTAATTTGTTTCTTAATGTTCAGTAATTTAAAATTTTAAGTATATAACGGTGTTGCTTGATGATTGTATAATTATTTCATAACCAACTTTTCTTTTGTTGGTATCAGTGGTGATAAAACGGTCACAGTTGTTTCAGATTATGCAAAGTTTTTTTATGAGCGTTAATAACAATATTTGCGTATGGTATTAAAGCGAAGAACAAATATAAAAAATTAACGATTTCTAAACTGAGGAAATAAAATGAGTAGTAAAACTGATTACTACGTGTTACGTAAACTACTATTGTATTAATATTTCTTAGTAAACCATGTTTCAAATGATTACTAGCATAACGTAACTAATTTTTGAACTTGGAAAAAACAAAAATGTAAATTTTTCTTTAATTGTCAATTATACACTTACGAAAACTAAATATATGTGATTAATATTTTAGGAATAAATATGGCTTAAAATGTGGTAAGTATTTAGTACTTTTAGGTAAAATAATTACATGGTTATTGTACCAAGATTAAAGATGCTAAATAATTTTGGCGAACAAAGCAGTTAAATACAATTCATTTTTTTTTTGTGTTTAAAAAAAATTTTATAATTATTTCATTGGTCACTTTTCTAACGGTAAGGATGTACACTTTCTAATCAATTCTGAAATTTGCTAATCAAATCTGAAATTTGTTCATATATATGGGACCATTTAATTTAAAATTTTCTATTAATCTAAAACCACAACATTAAAGATGTCGCATTCATACTTTGCAATGGTAATTTTTAATTTAAATTACTTTGTTACTGTTTGTTTAGTAATCATTTCTACTTAACCGTTGTAATTTTTAATTTTATTTATTCATCTTAAACAAAAAATATTTTGTTATGGATTTGTGGTTTTATTTATGTTATTATGGTAGCACTTTGATGGTATTTTGCTATCTTATTTCTTAAACATCCTAGGTTTTATTAATTTGTATTACACATTCATATTACTTAGATTAATTTTATGTTAATTACATGGAACACTCTTTTTAATACTTATCAATGAACAGGTAATTTATTTAGTTACTTGAGTGGTAATACTTTATTATCACATGTTCATAGAATTTCTATGAAAGCCCTTGCTATTATAGAATTTCATTAAACATTAAACACCTTTCATAAACTTCATAAAGCAGTACTTTCATTAGTACTACTCATTTTCATTAGTTAGATTAATTTTATTTTAATTATAATACTACTTAACACTATGATCTATCTTTAATTGGTATTTTTTGTGGTAACACCTTGTTACCATATATTCTTAGCATTTTCTATGATAACACCTTGCTATCATAGGATTTCATCAAGCCTTGAACACCTTTCATAAACGTCATGCATTTTCACACCACAACTTTACGTTCCTTAAATTAATTTTATTTTACTTACAATACTACTTAATATTGTGATCTATCAACACGTAATTTTTGGTATTTTTTGTGGTAACACCTTGTTACCATATATTCTTAGCATTTTCCATGATAACACCTTGCTATCATAGGATTTCATCAAACATTAAACATCATTCATAAACGTCATGTATTTTAGTACCACTACTNCATTAGTAGACGCTGGTCTGTTTTCAATACCAAAAGCCTTTCAAGGAAGTAATTTTTTTTCTCATTTATTTCGTTGAAAAATAATTTATAAACAAACAGTTAAAGATGAGTAGTTTTCTGGAAAATTTGATCATTATAAAAAGGAGTATGTTTTCTATTTTAATTCGATAAAATTAATGTTCTTATTGATGTTATTTTTCAATTTTATCATTGATCCTGTCTAAGTGCATCACGTATTTTACGACTTCAAAAACAATCGTTTATGATTTGTGATTCAAAACTCATAAATAAATCCATATTTTAATCAAGTTTATTTCCAGTTAAAAAAAATATATTTTATGTTTTATGATTTCAAGTAGGTAGATATCAAAAATGATAAGGTAGGTAAGAAAGGAGGTTGCACTAAAAGTTTTAAGACATCTCAAAGTCTAAAAAATTTGCTTTTAAGTAATTTGGTAATAATATACCTAGAAACTTATTCAAATCGTGATATTATTGTATGTTTTGGAATGTTTAAATTAGCATTGATTTGTCAAAAGTGAAGGCAACTTTTCAAAGTTGCATCAACAAAAAACTGTCGTTACTAAAAAAAGCAACTACCTGTATATACTTAAAAAAAATAATCTTCGTCACATGAAGTGGATTACTTATTATCAATAGCAATTGGAATGCTGATAAGTCGTGTCCCGTGTGGTACTGTTAGTGCTAATTACAACGATTTTGAGTACGGAATTTGTGACATGGAAAGTAAAAGTTGTCTAATGTCTAATTTTTAATTTACACAGCTAATATAAAGTTCTGTCAAAATGGCAGAAAACCAAACGCGAAACGGTGGTTGTGTACCCCGAAGAAAAAATAATATCCCTTCTGCAGAAATACCAGAAATTATTGTAAATGCTCCAAGCGTTTCTACGTTAAATGGGCTCAGCGAAAGTTCTGGACCTGGTGAAAATAAAAGAAAGGATCATTCAGGTTCAGGTGATACATCGAACGATTTAAACGAAATAACAGTTGATAGTAAAGAAAATGGTCCGAAAGACGCGGATGATATTAAACCTTTATCGGAAATCAGTCATCCTAGAAGATTACCTAGGAAAAACAGTATTTCTTTACCTAATCTTGACGATATGGAATTCTTAAAAAAACAAGTGGAAATTACATCCCCTGAGGTAAATATCCTAATCATCATTCTTCATAGTCCTTAGTGGTTTAATAAGAATATACATACTATAATCTAATTAAATACAGATACAGGTGAAACTAAAATAAGTGCCGGGCTTACAAGACGTGATGGAGCTGTATAAAATTAGTAAATTAAATTCCGGACCTGGCAAAGAAATACGATCCGCAAGGCTGCACTCAATCAGCTGGTATTTACCAGCATCAGCTTACATTTGTTCTTTTTCTTGTATTCGTGCATTTACATAGTGCTACATTTAATTTACTTATTTAATGTTGTCAGTTTAAACATTATGTGTAGTACTAAATTTGTTATGTTTATCCTAGAGATTCGATAATCTGCAATGTTTACATTCTCCATCCATGCAACTGCAAAGTTTTTATCGCACTACGCTATTCGGTTGCCAATTCACGCACAGGACCGGCTTCAAGTTGTAAATTATTGTAATTGTTTATTGCATCTAGATTACACATTCCAAAGCTCGGTACTTACTTGTGTTACACACCCTGTATCTGTCTTAAATTTTGATAAAGTATTTTTTGAAATATGATGAGTACTTTCGAAGGTTACCATCCATATTCAAACGTGCACACTTTACGGTTTTTTTATAGTATTAGTATAGATAATAATTTATTAGACAGAAACGAATTAATTATTATAATAGTTAAAAGCAAATATCTATAGATGGCAACATACTGTCATTATTTGAAATTTATGTATATTTCTGATTTAAAATTGTCATGGTTTTGGTTCTGGAGGCAAAAAGCTTTCTTGGGAAGGATATAGAATGATAACTCATTAACATTATTACACCTTATTAATTACACTTATGCCAAATAGGGGCATAAAAACTTTTATATTATATGAAGACGATGAAGAGTCAATTGAATCGTAATGTTATTGTTACAATTAGATTAAAAACAGTTATTAACTACGTCCGTAATAATGCTATGCGATTAGTAATCGAGTCGAATCGTTCGTTTTTGTTTTCGAATTATTCGATTGTTTCGAATTATTTTTTACTTCGTAACTATAGTTGACAAGCAATAACAAATTGAACAGATTTTAATCGTCATCAACTTTAGGTGGTAAGAAAACGAATCGAATAATGTTATTAGTCATATCGAATGATTCGCATAGTTCTATTCTGGAATAATCAGCAATTATCATTTTATTATAAAGATATTTTCTCAATGCCTAACATTTACATGTAAAATTACAATTTACATACGATAACAAATTTATTTATAAGTATTCCATCGCGTGTACGCTTTATCCATTGTTTACAAATGTTTCTATCTAAATTTTCATTCAGTTCAATCGCATTTTTAGTATGACAAACAAATTTGAGTGTGATTATTTTTGGAAAAGAAGGAAAACTTTGTGAAGTTAAAACCATTCGTTTTCTGTGACTGTAATTGTCATGTCTACGCATTTTTATTTGTATTTTGCAAAATCACTTAAGTTAGGGGTTCTGACGCCATGTTATTCTTCAAAGTTGCTACCCGTGAGTTATTTTGAATGATCCGCTAAATAAAAATGAAACATAAATGTCATTTTTTTTCCCAGGTATCAATGAATAGCAGTGAATTCGGAAATATCGACGCAAGTGATGACGAAACGACACCTATTAATAAAGGGTAAGGTGACTTTTAATTTAAATTAACCGAAAAAATTTCATACTTCATACAAATTTTGAAGTTTTACTCCAATAGCTTATCAATAAATTATTTTGGCGTTTTTTTATGAGCCTTCGCCATTAAATATTTTTATACAAGTGTGAACAAATTATAAATTACATGTTTGAAAATATTTCCTTAGACTGTACTATAAACAATAAGGAATGAGATGATTTATGACTTTTCAATAGTACTGTATTCTATATTCAGACCTTGATTCATTTTTCTATCAATTTGTATGAAAGTACAATGTCACAGTGTGTTAACCTTTCACAGTATTTATTCAAGAAGAGGTACCACAATATAGTTTTTTGATATTTCAGTAAATATTTAGTTTATGATTATTTATGTATTCAAAAAAATGTATTGAGTATGAAGCAAATTACAATAATGTTTGCGAAGCCATAAATTTTGGCTGAAAGAAACCGTATCAAAAACATTTTTCTCTCCATGCAGCATATACAATATTCCTGAAGTATTAAAACTGAAATTATTAATAGAGGGATAGTTTCACGAAGTTTACTTAATTACTACATTAAAAAAATTATATTTTTCTTTGAACTACAAATTGTCGTTTATGCAAAACACACACGTAAGAGTTGAACTCTCATTTACCTGATTTTTTACTAGTGACATTTCTGTGCCTTGCCTCGTCTAATTTTTTGCCATACTTTGTCATTACAATTTAGACGAATTAAAGCGGAGAGTAATTTTAAAGACGTCCATTTCAATATGTAGACATAAAATCAAAAATAAAGTTGACGAATAAAAAAAAAATTGTTTCAGCTATTTTTATATTACTATAGAAAAATCATTAGTTTAAGACGAAATATTATCACATTGTACCTAGTAATTTTTGGGAAGATATGATTCTTAGTTTTTTAATATTCATAATCAAAGTAGACAGTTTCATTTCCCAAACATTTCGGTACAAAATCCACATCTTACATCAATAACGAGCCTACTACGTATCTTCAGTCTTCTGTTTTACTTAAGTCCTCACCTAAGTCTACCTATTACCTGACCATTTCCCTACATTCCTATCTATCTTTATCTTTCCTAATTTTCGATCTCTTTCCTCATTGTATTTATTTGTCCCACCTTCTTCCAAACTTTCCAATTTCCCTCATAATTTTTCACACTTTTTATAGACTCTTGTACCATCTTTCGGGAGTATTTCCATCTAAATTTAACATTCACTTTAAATATTTTTTGTATATACTTTCCACTTGATTATTTTCTGCCTAACTTTATATTTCCATATCATGGAAAACTATATTCATTATTACCCCGTTAAATAGCAGTAATCTGCTTTCCTAGTCACCCCATTCCCACACAAAGTTCCCATAGTTACTTACTTACTTTTTGTTACTTCATCACTTTATGTTTTCTCCCATCATATATCGTAAATGTGTAAATATGAATACTTTTTAACCCTAATATATCTATTCCCTTCTAACTCATCTGTTTTATCTCTTTCCCTTACCTTTCCAAAAGCTTTGTTGCAATCAAAGCTATTTCATTCGCATATGCTGTTGTCCATATTTTTTTTCATCATTATCTATCTATTGCCAAAATGTTTTGTCGCCTATACCATTTATTTTCTTACATATTTATTTATAATATGCTTATGTATATACAAATTAATTTTCTGACGTCTTCTTACGAAACGGCGTACTGCTATAATACAATTATTTTACTATATTCTTATTGCTAATCATACACTTAGTATGTTTTTTTGTTTCACGAAAACAATAATTATAAATAAACTAGTATAAATGGTGTAGTTGTGCAATCAATACAGATACAATACAAATTTATAACAACTTCAGCGCACATAAAATTAATTTATGATGATCTGCAAACAAATGTCGATATTTCAGGTAAATCGAAGGAATGAACCTACTGTATATCATATACTATATAACGGGCTTTGATCTTGATGCAGTATTTGCTTGTATAACTGCTATTAACCTTATGACTTCGTTTCTTAAATAACCTATGGTACTCGAACGAATGATAACAATTTAACTATGTTTCATTAAATCATTAGTTTATGTCTATTGATATTCACCCGTTCCATACTAGGTTTTGGCCGCGGCTTCGCTCGCGTTGATGTGCCAAATACGACGATCGATCTTTGACGATCACATAAAACAATTTTTTTGTAGCACTTGGGAACAGTACTCTATATCCTTTTCTGTACCCCTGACAATGTGTATACAAAATTTCGTAATGACATAAACGGCTGTATCTTTTGATTGCGTTGATTTGGAAGTTTCATTTTTTCATTGCTCCAAAGCATTGTAGTCTTGAGTATTTGATGTTAATTTCCACTTGGTGCCTCCGCGTGTTTCTGACAAAAACTGTCTTGACACCCGGGGCGAATCCTACATTTACCGCCCTTCCTATTTTCTTTGTTTGTTTTTATGATATAGAGACGGTAGTCCAGTTGGTTATTATATCAATACTATTTATTTATTTATTTTTATGATTTTTCTGCAAAACTGGGTAGATTCTTGTTTGAAGAAATATGACAACCCTATTTGTCTATGTCCGAAAGCAAAACGGACGTTCAGGGATTTCCCAAAATAACTAATAACACTCGCCGGCTCTCACGAAGTGTTTTATGGTTAAGATAAAAAGATTTTAAGAAAATATGCAGGTACCAATGCTTACGTATGCATAGGGGGGGGGGTAAGAATTTTGCTTTCTTTTGCTGGGGGAGGTTAAAATTACTAAAATTTAGTTTACGTAATACTTGAATGGCTTCTAAAAGTGGAGTTTCTTGTGTTTTGTGCTTTTATCCATATAATAATTAATTTCAATTCAAAATGTGTTAATTTACCATAATTAATAGGAACAAACGTAAAATTAAGCATCTGCATTTGCATTTGCCTCACATAACTTACTTCATTTACATACATAATTCAGAATAGCAAGTGGATTTTGAGGATTCATCTGAGGATTTATGGAGAATTGTAAAGGTTTCGGTTCTTCAAATAGCCTGATCGTCAGTATTTTATTGTCGCTGGGAGTATATGTATTCTTTCCATACCTTTGCAATGTTTTAAAGTTTCATAGTTTCAAGTGAAATCACTTAGACCACGGCCCTATAGCCCGAATTTTCATTCTAGTATGGATTCCGGCCGTGAAAGCCTTTGTTCTTATATTTTAAAGTTTGGATAATTGTGCATAATTTTGCTGTATGAAATTTAATATTGTGGAGTGCTAAATGTAAATGGAATATAAAAGTGTCTTGTTTACAATACAAAGGCGAAATCTGTAGTCCACCAGACGATACGTATTTCTGCTTTTTGGTATGTTTTTCTACGCCTTCGTCCTTAACATAATGTGAACCGTTAGGGTTTGACCATTCGAACTTCAAAAAATTCCGTTTTTACATTACTTTTCACACAAAAATCTTGGAATTTTTACGAATCTAGACGATAATATTTGTTGCATGATGCAAATTAATAAAAATTGGTACAAATACTAAGAAATTTGGGCATTTAACATTATTGCGAGGTGGATCTGATTCTATTTAATATCGAATGCCGCCCTTACCTCCGCGCCGCCTGGGGACCATGGCCCCTTTGCTCCCTCTCATCCCCACGTTACGCTACTGGTCAGACAGACGGACAACGAAGGGATCCTATAATGGTTCCATTTTTCTTTTTGAGGTACGAAATCCTAAAAAAAAATGTTGCATTTGCGAGACTTTTCGAAACGTCTGGCACAACACAATTAACGAATACGTTACAAGTGTTTAGAAGTTGAACAAACGCCAATTTTGGAAGTTCCTGTGCCATTACCAATGTTGTAAGGCTTGCTCTCATTTGTTGCAATAAAATAGATGTAGGAAATTGCAATTTATTCAATGCTTTGAAACAGTCGGCGGGGTCTGGCATTTCAATAAGATAATCGCAAACTCTCGGTCGAATTTCATCAGGGTACCGGGCTTAGTTTTTGGACTTCGTTGTATGCGACTTGAAAACGCGGAAGAATTTTTATTTTATCATAACTTGTTGCGTAAGTACAGTTTTATTCTTTTCTACTTTCGGTAACTAAACCAATTTTAATTAAAAAACCATTAAAATTAATTTGAGAACGCATACGTTTACGTTTACAGAAATAAGAATAGAGATTTTCCAGCTTAATGATAAGATTATGATTCTTTTTTCGTTAAAAAATAATTAAATGTATTTGATCCCTTTAATGAAAAATAATATATCTGTCAATCATATTTAATATTTTTGTTGTTTGAAATCTTCATCTGCAAGCGGCTCTACAACGTCATTGATTAATCTAATTATTTAATATATTTCACTCAAAAAATTTAAGTTGCATTGTCTGGAAAAATCAATTTTGAAACCACTTTAAAGGATGCAGATTTTACAAACTTTATAAAAATTAGTTCTTATCTAACACTAACAGATAATATTTAGTAACTTTTTACCTAGTTTAAACGTTTCATAAATAAATAGCTCCAAAGCAATGATTATAATATATTCAGTATTTAATTTATTTCAGATTTTGTTTTTTAAGTGCCTGAAATCGACTTATATTAAAAATTAATTGATCGTTGTTTAGGATTTCAATTAACCTAAAACTTTATTAATTTTGTCGTAAACAGAAAGCGTAAGTATTAATTAATTTGGTTTTTATGTACTAACATTTCTGGGTTTTATAAATCTTATTAAATTTGTCTTCCATTTGATTATTTGTGATAAGTCACTACTGTAAATTATTTAATGTTTTTAAATTGTTTAATTATAATTTAATTTAATTCAATTCTAATCAAATGAAAATTGAGATCGTAACGATTACGTAACAATTCATTTTCTATTTCTTACGTTTCGTTTTTAATAATTTAACAAATGTATAAATAACACCCGTTTATTTATTTATACAATAGAAGCCGTTATTAATTTTTTGTTAGTTTCCGACGATTTATATCAGAACATCACACCATGGCGATTAAAATTGTTATCCTTATCATCTTGCTAGGTTTTAACCGCGGCTTCTCTCGCGTTGGTGTTCTAAATACGTGACAAGGATTAATAAAACTAATTTTTCTGTCCCTCGAAAATCGTATTCCTTTTTCTGGAAAAAAGGTACCCTATGTCCTTTTTTGTACCCCTGACAATGTATGTACAAAATTTCTTGATGATCGGCTAAGTAGTTAAGGCGTGAAATCGTAACAAATAAACAAACTCATATTCGCATTCATAATATTAATATATATATATAATGTGTCGTTGTAATCTTTCTACTTTGTTTAAACAAAAAACAGTACAATGTTGAAAATAAAAAGAATCAGTGCGATGGCCGGGAATCGAACCCGGATCAACTGCTTGGAAGGCAACTATGCTGACCATTACACCACCATCGCCCCATGAATAACAGCTTTTAAGATACGAAATTTCCACGGAAATGAAAATATGTGTGTATAAAAAGTTGCCTATTTAAGCTTTTATACATTATATTTAAATTTTTGAGTAAAAATCTGCATTTAATGATATCAATTTGCACTATTCATAAAAAGAGTTCTGTTCTGTGTTGAACAAACTAGGACAAGTGATAATACAGAATTACAAAATTAATATATATTTATAAACCAAATCGGGCGTAATTTTTTAATGGAAAAAGAACTTTTTTTAGCATTAAATTCATTATTTATGATTTTAAACGCAAGATATAGCACACTTTTAACAAGTCAATTCTTATTAATCTTTATTAATTTGATTTTAAACTGAAAGAGATAAAATTAATCCAGGTTTCTATTAATCTAGTCATTATCGAATCGTTTAATCAAAACTTTATGAAAGTAAAATAGTTAGTCTAGCAGATAAATTTGATGAAAAATAAAGTTTGAGAATTGAGAAAGAGTCAGAATAAAATTGTTCAAATGCCTCACGTACAGTAAGTTATAAAATATAAATATTTAATTTAATATGCCTTGATGATTAATATTAAAAATTTTAATTTTTATAATGTTGCGAACATACATCCTATTACATCCTTACAAATTTAGTTGCAAGTTGTTGCCTGTTTTATAGGTACATGAAATAATAGACATTAGCAGATTTTTAAAAGCGCTGACGATGAGAATATTTGAAGATTATAAAACAAAATAAAATTAAGTACCTACTTAAGTAGTTATTCAAGAAAATACGCATAGATATGCAATTCATTCCGGTCTAGACGTTGTACTTATTAGAGAAACACAGTGAGAATCTGCCACTGGCAGTAATACACGTAATGTTCTTAAATAGTAACATCCGCGAAAGTTATTGTCTGGATCATATAATTTCTTCACTTGTTTTGTTTTCTATTCTTTGAGGTCGATAAACTTATAACAAGAACAGGAACGTACTGGTACAATATCAGATGAACTGATATTATTAGGCAGACAGAAAACGGGTCTGTAGGTGTAGTCTTATTGGTGTTAGGAACCCAATAGCTTGTTGAAGAACCCTAATAAAACCTTCCCGCTTATACTTATACTCCCAGATGTACAGGGGCGGCCTTAACCATTGCGAGGTTCCGGGGGGGTAAATCATTACGAGGCCCTTGTCTTTGTGGACTTAGTTTTAATGATGATACTTGATAAGAAATGCAAAGTTATTAATAAATAGATTTAATTTTTTAAAACTATTTATTGGAAATTAATGAATAAACACATAGATAACAAATTATTAATCATGATAAACCAAGAGCATTAATGTTTTAAAGCTTCTTTTTTAAAACGAAGAAACCTTCAAACAAAATTTTCCATTATTTTCTAATTTTTACTAGTGTGTAGGGGATAAGTAAATGTTAGTTTCATCCCCCCGTACGAATTAAACAATTAACAATTTTGCTGAAGCGGACATTAAATTTCAGGTTAACATTGATACCCACTTTCGGTAATTCCCTGAATTGTAACTTCTCTTTTTGTTCCTTGACGTACGCATTGTTTCAAATACATTTATTCCAATGAATATTCGAATGTTTCTTCAATTTATGATTGGAATGCGGGTTTTATATTATTAATTGCTTCTTTAATTCGTATTTTTATTAATTTTTTTCCGTTATTAGACAGACCGCACTGACATGATATATGAAATATTTGATAGAATATTTTTCCATACTTTATTTTTTGAAGCTCATCTCTCAGTTAAAATAAAAATTTTTTTTTTGAAAGTGGTTTAAGTATAGTATATTCCCTGGTTTAATTTCTTACCCTTACTAAGCGGACAGATTTCTTTTAGTTCCGAAGATGTCCGTTTAAGAGAGAGTACACTGTATATATATATTTTTGTTTAAATGTAATAAAGTTGATCTCAAGACATCGTTAATAGCCACTTAAGAAAACATAAAAATCCGTGTCGCCGCTTTATCTTCGTTCAGACATTGGTTCAGACGTCTCTTTTCGTGGTTCTTATCAGGCATGTGACTAAAATTGCAATATAATGAAATACTTTTTAATTTCCTATTAATTTAAGTAAAACGATATTGTTGTGCAGTAACGTCTGTATGGAGTGTTAGTGAATAAGTTTTTGATCGCCAATTTGTTGAAAACAGTGTGTAGAACTGACTGTTTTTTTAATTTATGTATATTCATAAAGCAAAGTGTTTTTATTTTATTGTTTCCGAAAATGGTTATGTGCTACTTATTAAATAATTAAACCATATTCGATAGGTACTTCTCTTTTTTGAATTAAAATTTAATTATAACTTAAAAAACCCATTTAGGTATGCCATTGTATATTAAGAAATCGTTTAGATAATGTTATTTTGTTATTATCTAATGTTCAGCTAAAAACCCAATCAATAGTATCACGACAAATTTTGAAAGAATGTTGTACAACAATAACAATTTCGTTTGTTTGTGAATTTTATTTATCATTATGGTACTATGCCCAAATAAATTTGGAAAAATTTTAATATTTTAATCTACGGGCCTATTTGAGAGATACAATACAATATTTATGTGGCTCATGGGCTAATATTTGTGACCACAACGGTTTTATTTTGTTTATATTCTATATTTATAACGAATTCGGTGATAAAAATTTGTTACATTGTCTAAATAATTACCAGCGGTTGTTTATACAAATAAATTCTGGTAGGTACTATTTATAATTATAAAACTATGCCGTGTACGAAAATTTTTATTTATTGTGTACAATTGATATTTGCTGCGGTATTTGAGTACCAAGTTAATTTATTATTTTTAGCGTTCCCATAAGAAACTACAGACGAAAGTCTGTGACAGTTCCTCCAGCAAAAATGCTTAAACCGCCAGTTGACGATGATGACTCAAGAAGCACTTCACCAGCTAACTCGGTGGCTTCTGTCAATTCGTTAGCTAGTCTTCTTAAAGAAAAGATGCAAGTAAGTTGATACTGAGACCGTTGTCTCAATTTGCTAGGTCATCGTTTTTGTTTTTGTTCACCCTTTGTCATATCCATCTCAACATATACATACAAAATGCACTGGCTTTTTGGTTTGGTTTGGATGTATTAATTTTATTTGCAATCCTCTATTGTGCTTGCTTCATAAATTGAAAGCAATTTTTCATACTTCACAATCGCTTTCCCTCAATCCCATGATTGGTTCGCTTTAAATATGAAGTCAACCAGCTTGCTTTGGAATTAGCACAAGGTAATCCTTCATGTTCTTCATTATGGGTGTGTTCCGAAATATAACCCAGCACACCGACCAGTGCGGATGACGTAATGAATCGACGCCATATTGTTGATTCGTTCCGAAATATACTGGTCAGTGCGTTGACATCATATTGACGCCATATTGACGATAGTGTTTGTGCTCGTTTACAACAATTTTGCTCCAAAAGTTATTAAAGTTTCTTACAATAAAAGATTCCTCAAAGTCTTATGAACACATGCCCGTTTGATATACCGCTACGCAGGGCCGTAGCGAGGCCGGTTCAAGCGGTGCGGCACACCGGGGCCCCCGCAGTCGAGGGGCCCCTTAGCAGTATTCTGTTTTCAAAAAATGACTTCTAAAAAAAAACAATGCTGTTAGAGATGAGCTGAGTCAAACTATGAAATGAACATCATAATTTTTTATTTTACTTTTTTCTATATCAATTTTTGTCACAATACTCCATATATTTGATCAGGTACGTAGTTACATGGAATGCATACATCTCGAAATCGCGAATACTTCTACATTCTTTGTTTCCTTAAATCCGTTGATATAATTATCATTGCTACCATAAATAATTACTAATTGCTGACCATAAATCTATATCACCCGAAACATCACTATAGAATTCATTGCACAAACATCAAGTGCCTGCTCTTTCTAAAAGGTTTTTTTTTCTCGATTTGATAGCAGCAAAATCAATAGTTTTATCGACATTTTTTTTTAATGACATTTTTCTGATCATCAATTTTAAGAAGGGCCCTTGCGGAATACCGCACCGGGGCCCCGAGCTCATCGCTACGGCCCTGCCCCTACGTCGCACTTGTCTCACCAGTACAATATGGTGACACACCAGTACAATATGGCGTCGATTTATGACGTCATCAGCACTGGCCAGTATGTTGGGTTATATTTCGGAACACACCCTATATTTCTGGTAGGTGTCTGCCAAGGAGTTTAAATTGTGTTGTCCACCCATTTCATTGCGTTTCCACGTACGCATGCACACATTGAATTCATAGTTTCTGAATTTCCCCCTAGATGTTTCCATCTTCGGCAAAGAAAAGGAAGCCCAAGGATTATAAAATTCGCGCATTCGTGGGATTTCTCTTTCTGACAATAGTAGCGCTTGTAGGACTGGCGTACATTCTCTATCAGCAACAAGTTCTTCGTAGAGCGTACTTCGAAAAGATTAAGTTCAGCCAAAACGATCGCGTAATAAATATTTATAACAATGAAGGTATCGAGGTGTTGAGGGGTCGTCTCGGAACCACCCTTAATTATAACAAAGCCTTCCCCTGTCTCCGTACCGACGAGAAAGCCGACGGAAGTATTTGCTTGGAATGGATGAACCACGCCAGGCTTTACATGAACACTTTCAGGCTTTTTCCGGACACCGAATGCTATAATTTCCAATGGGTTTCGTTGGCAGAAGAAATAGCTCCAACGGACTGTTTTGACCTTTCTCCAAGAACGGGTCACTGGTATGGCGGAGGTCAGATGGCTGAACATGCATGGCCCTTAGAGAAAGGTCTTCATAATTTTGCGCCCTTTGTCACTGGAGTCACTGACAAGTACGAATGGGGAAATGTTCTGAAGAGATTCTTCATCAATTCAAAAGGAGCGGCCGTTATTGTCGATAGTTCGGTTCCATTGTACACAGCAATCAATATCGGCCCTAAATCAAAAGAACTCTGCTTTAAAGCAAAATATGACGATTTTGCATACGTGAACAGGATAACGCCATTTCCATTTTTGAACTACAGTGTTTGTACGGGACCGAATATGACCCGATTGCATTCCCTACTGGCCGAGAAATCACTTTGGGATGGTCTAAAGCAGGACGACATGAACATCATTCATTCGTTGGTTACAGAACCGCTTTGGGAAATAACAACCGATAATAAAGAGAAATTTACCGAAGAAGCAGTCTTGAACTACACAGAGGACGTAATAGGGTTAGGGTTTTTGAAACAGGGACACGTTCTTTTGAACGGCGATTGGCAGAAGCAACCGGGCGATTTTGAAGTCGATACAGAACGATTTCCTACACTTGAAGAAACGATCAACATTATGCACCGACGAGGATTCAGGATAGTGTTTTCGATTCATTCGTTTATTTCGACGGAAAGTGCCAGTTTTCCGGAAGCCGTGAGGAGACAACTTCTTATATCGGAGAGGTTCACCGATAAACGTATACCAGCATTAACCAGATACAGATCCATACAAACAGCTGGTGTTTTGGACGTAACCAATGACAGAACAGTTCCGTGGCTCCTAAGGAAATTAAAAGCTGTTCGAAATAAATACAAATTTGACGCTTTCTATTTGGACTTGGGCGTCGCTTACGACATGCCTCACTATTACCAATGCGAAAATCCACTGACAAACCCAGACCAATACAAAACGTTTTTCATAAACAATCTTCAAGGAAATGTGCCTATTTTTGGTGTTAGTGGAGCGGTCCAAAGACCTCAGGCTCCAGCGTTTGTTTCACTTCCTGAATTTGAGTCTTCCTGGGATGGTCTAAGGAAGGTGATTCCAACGGTGTTGACCTACGGGATTACCGGGTATCCCTTCTTAATCCCAGGTGCTGTAGGGGGTGACTATGAAATTTCCGAATACAACTCGCAGGTTGATATAAATTCAACAGCTGATGTTTTGCTACCAGACAAAGAACTTTATATGAGATGGCTGCAGTTGGCCACATTTTTGCCGGTGATAAGGTACAGACATTTACCCAGCAAATATGGAGACGGAAAAGTATTAGAACTGGCCAAAGTTTTGACGTCCCTACGGCAAAAAGTGGTAAGTAGTTTCATAAAGGGTGTACAAGTGGTTCATTCGAAATTTCTAAAATTTAATTTTAATTTAATGTTGAGCTTGTTTGGGATTTAATTCAAGATTTTTGTAGGTAACTCCTCTTTTAAAAAAATATGCAAGTGAAGCTTTAGATTCTGGACTTCCCATGATAAGACCATTGTGGATGTTGGGTCCAAACGATCCCGCTTGCCACATTGTTACAGATGAATTTTCTGTGGGAGAAGAACTCATTGTAGCTCCAGTTTTGTACTCAGGATCGAGACAGAGGGAAGTGTATCTTCCGGCAGGTGTTTGGAAAGATGGCATTGATGGTAGTTTACGAAAAGGAAACCGTTGGATACACGATTACGTTGTGGAGGAACAGCAAATAGCTTATTTTGAAAGAATGCCCGATAACACTCGATTTTGAACATGAGAATTGTTGTAGGAAACAGGGAGAAGGTCGTCAATAGATTTAAAGGTAATAGTAAGGTATTTGCTTATCTTCTCGTTTATATTATATTTAGTTATATGTATTTTTAAGTTCATTTGTTTTTCCTCAGACAGTTCAACGTTTTTTCTTAACAGTTTCTTTTGGCTGTGTAACTGTCTGAAATTTGCATTTTTAATTTTTTACTTTTTTCAGTTATTCAATTTTTTTATTTTAATATTAAGCCTAAGCAGTATAAATCATAAACTTATTTAAACATGTATGTAAGTTGAAGTAATTGTTACTTTCTGCTTAGTTGTATAAGCATGAAATAATGTAATTGTGATATTTGCTTTAGAAACCTATCCATTAACTGAATAAAAAAATATTAATTTTCCTTTGTATTAAATGCTAATTGTAGTGACTAAATAAATAAATTTAAGATTTTTGGTTTCATTTAAGGCTAATTAAATATCTTTTATTATTATTTGTACGGTATTGTTTTCCGGTTTTAATAGGGTTGGTACAAAAGAAACTTCCCGCATTTGACTTCGGTAGGTGTCCGTTGCCCTGCATACTACTTTTTTCGTTGAAATGCCTTGGATTTTAGTTTTAACTAGCTTTTCTCGGCGGCTTCGCTCGCAGAAATTAATATTGTTTCTCCATAAAACCTTTTAAACTCCCAATTCACCCTTACAACGTTTTAATTTTATGTAATGTCGTCACCTTAGATTTCAAATGCAAACGTAGCAACAACATTTCATCCTTAAGGGTTGATTGTTGTTGCCAAAACACGTATTTGCTTAATTTCAACAATGAGCAACCTTCGAGTAAATCCGAGTACAAATAAAATATACCCCATGGAAACGTTGCAACCTCTTTTCATTTGATTAATAATATCAAATAGCATATATACCAAGTTTCAAGTATGTAAATTCAACCACAAATAAAGTATGTCCCAAACAACTATTTTACCCCCCGCCCTTTGGAGGCTGAACTTTTTAAAATGTCGACATAGGTCTTTCAGAAATTAAATAAGACATCATTAAGACCAAGTTTCAAGTACATCTGACTACAAATAATGTATGTTCCATTTAAACATTGCAACTCCTCTTCACCACTTATCTCCCCCAACAGAGATTTAATTGTCAACCAATTTCAAGTAAATCGGACCAAAATAAACATGCAATCATTGCAAATCTCTTTCAGCTTCTTAAAGAGGTAGAATTTTGTAAAATGTTGAAATAGGTATGTATACCACTAATTTTATATGAAAATTCATTAAAGCCAAGTTTCAGGTAAATTTGACCATAAATAAAACGCCATACTTAACCATAGACAACATTACGTTTAGCTGTCAGTTGCGTTTTGTTATACCATTTTTAACAAATGAACGGCTAGACCATAGACATATATTAATGGACGTGCCTTAGTCGTATTTGTTGTAATAATTTCTTGGCTCGAAAAGTGAGGGAGATGGCGTATGATTTCGGACTAGTGCTATCTCTTTCATGACACGCTTACGCATACTATTGTGAGAGAGATGGATATTGTCTGAAACTTCGTTTCATCTCTTTTGTTGTACCACAATTCTGACCGCTAAGGCATGTCCATTAGTAAACGTCGATGGGCTAGACCAGTGATTCCCAACCGGTGGTTCATGAACCCCTGGGGGGGTTCGCAGTGTTTACAGAGGGGGTTCGCGAAAATAATATTGTAATGGCGGATTTTTTAAAACGCCATTAAAATCAAAAGCAAAAAAAACAAAACAAAAACACAAAAATTAAAGAACTGTACTAACTGTAAAACAGATTGTTCGCTGCCTGTTTGTTAAGAAATCTATAATAAATTTCAATATTTTC